GTTTACTTTTATTTGAATAATAAATATACAAATAGTATATTCAACAGGTATAATATACCAGCATATCGTACACACACAGCTCCTGCTTACACTTCTCTCAAATGGTTGCGTTCACAGCAAGTTTTGTTTTTGAGTTGGTTGCGAGTATTTTTTCAGGCTTGTCAATCAGTCGTATCGCCTATGATTGAAGGACGCGCTACTACTGTGGAGTGATGATCTTCGGTCGGGATTATAGTTGACTTTTCTTTTACCTTATTCCTTGTGTGGTCTTCATTGTCATCTATTAACAATTTTCGTCTAAAAAATCACACTGATTTAAATAATGTTTATGAAAAATCCCCTTTAAATGTTTAAAAAATGTTATATTTCCGACTTTCAACTATATAAAATTTAAAATTGTTATTATTCAAACAAAATGTGGTTATGGAGTGAGTTTTATTTGCTGGAAATGATTCGTTGTAAGTTCATCCAGCTGAGTGAATAGTCAATTTGCAGGAGTCCTTTTTTGCTTAGACCGAATCGCTCAAGATGCCGCCGTTGGCTGTATATATCGTAGTTATCATCCCGGATTTGACTTGGTGCATAATATACAGGCATTTGTTGCATTTCAATGCATTCGTAGCAGGGCAGACTGACACTTTGTCGACGTCCATGTACATAATTCGCATATTGATCATAATAATATTCCGGTTGTGGATACTCAATCTGATACTGACGTGTATCATAGATTGGCTCATTCGGATTATTATGATATCCATTGATCGATTCAGGTGCCAATGTATCAAATGGTGAACGTCTCTTAGGCACAATTACATTTGCATAGCATTCGTAAGCGGATGACGATTGCATTGGAGGCGGTGGAAAATTTATTTGTGGAACTGTTCGATACTGAAGTATCGAACTTCCACTACACGAATTCGATGACATCTCTTCCATATCTTTTGTAAAGAAATAGAACTGTGTACAGAAACTGTGTTTGTCTAAATTCCGAAATCGGTTTCAAATCTATGATATTACCAGTAAAATTAGTATCCGGGATCATCTCGTACTTTGCATTGTAAAACAACTGCTCATCAAGACCCGCATAGCATGGACAGTCATCGGATTTGGTGTCTAGAATTTAAATAATTAAAACAAACTACTTTAACGGTTTTCGTCAAAAATACCATTAAATTGTTTGCATCATGTGCAAAGGGGTCTATTTTTGGCCATTTCAATCATAAAATAATTATTCGGGAAAAAAAATAATCAAAAGTGTATACTGACTTGTGAAGTAATAAGGATTCGAATGGTCATCATGAGCTGAATTCGGTGTTGGATTTGAACCGTCCGGTTCCATACTTTTGGGGAAAAACGATTCTTGAATTAAATCAACTGCCATTTTTTTTATATTTTTTTTATTGAACCATTGCAGTCTTTCAAATCTTTCTGGTCCAAATATTAAAAAATTATGAATAGGCATAAACAGAATCTGGCATCACCTTTGTATGTAGGCGTAGTTCTCGAGATCCCATGGGTCAATATAATTGCGCGAAAGTGCACTTATTGATTGTCGACTCGATGATCGTGTCACATCCGTTACATTTGAGAATGTATCGATAGCAGACCAATAAATTGAGTCATGTTCATTTCGGGCCAGGGATTTGATGCGAGATGAACGGGATTGATACGTCATTTTTTGGTTTTCGCTAAAACAGTACTATGCGGTTTTAATAAGATGCATAGATACGAATTAATTACATCCAAAATTAAATCTTAAAGAAAGACAAACTAGTTTTATAAAGTTTAAAAATCATTTATATCAAAAATCAACCGATGAAAGTAACCGTTTTGGAAATACACACCAGGTACCTCCTATTATTACATATGTTTCTCTTTCAAATATTAAAAAAGTTCGCCTCAATTGCTGCTTGCTTCGTTGTGTGATCTTGTCTCAGCCAATATTCAAAAAGACATTTGTTTTTCTTTGTGTATTCATTGAAATACTATTCAAGTTTTGATGAATAAAAGCGTACAAAACGCAGTTTAGTAACAATTTCAGCGATGTAACGTGGTATGGCCACGAAACGATGGCATGTGAATGGTGTAGAAGAAGCAAAAAAATAGCTCCAAGTTTATAAGAAGTTTCACCAATACAAAATGTATATGCGCTTATATGCACGAATAGGTAAAACCATTTAATTTAATAGACAAAAAATGGCTATAACGAAGAAATCATATAGAAAAATGGGAAAAATCTTGTTTTCTTCACAAAATATTGTTGTTTTTTTTCGTAGCTTTTGAATGTTGAGTTTTTTTTATTTGAAATTTATTTGCTGTGTCATTTTGTTGCTTTCTTCACACCGTACGAAGCAAACAAACGGTTGTTCCAATGGAATCGCAATGCGAATATTTTATTTTTCTGAATAGGTGAACGCATTAGAAATTATTATCCATTGAGCTTGCATGTTGCTATTATAAGCGGCGTAGAGGAGAAAAAAATGTTTGGCAGCATATATGAGAGAGCTATCTATTATATTTTTCAATTTTTTGATACTTTTTAATAGTAAAATTATAAAATGAACGTGTGATAGACGAAAAAAACAGCAACAGCAGCAGCAACAACAACAAACATCGAAAATTGTGCGCTCAGAAAAAGAGTCTGTGTGAGAAGCGGTGAAGAGAAAGGTGGAAAAGCCATAAACACTAATTAAATAGATGATTTTTATATTATGCGTGCTATTTCAATCATGATCATGTTTAATTTATGATATTGTTGCCGCTAGCAGCAGCTGTGTCTGGAGTTATTTGTTTTGGTTTTTTTTTTCGCACCATCGCGCTCTTTCCGTCGGCTTGTACTGCCAATATTTCCCAGTGTTTTGCCGCGATTTCTGTGTTTGCACTAGACAATTATATGCATTTCGGTTACTGTTGTTTTTGTTGCGCTTTTAATTTCCTTTCCATTTCTTCATTTATTTATTTTACTGTGGATATTTCATTTATTTTATAAGTTTTTGGGGATTTTTTGTTTGTTTGTTTGTTCAGGTTCATGCTGGCTCAGGTTTTCCCACGGCAAAATATAGTTTTTCGCGAAAACAATGCTACAGCTTCAAAAATGTATTAATTAGTGAATGCTATTTACGTGTTTTAATCAATAGAAAAAATAATGAAATGTTCAAATAATTTATGCGTCTCATAATAACAGAAGATTCAACATGTACATTTGCTGTATCGGAACATTTGATTAATTTACTGTTTTAATATTTTTTCTTTGTATTTCAATAATCAGTCAAATTTTAAACTCCGTGATAACCGAGTATGCACCCAAACTTTACGAGTGCATTGAAAGACAATTTGTTGATCGTTGCCCTTCACGCTACATAAATTCGACATCGTCTTATGAATTCTACGAAGAGGTAACTACACACAGAAAAGAATCCCCGGGAATTTCAGGTGTTCGCCGTAAAATTTGACATTTATATATAAATTTCTATATACATTTTACCGGCAACACTTCAATTTTCCGGGCGATGACATAATTTCAAATATTCCAACAGAAATTAGCGCCATCTGTCATTTCAAGCGGTAAAATATATATAGTATTTGATAAAATGTTCGAAAATGTGTCATCGCCCGGAAAATTGTAGTGTTGCCGGTAAAATGTATCTAGAAATTTATATATAAATGTCAAATTTTACGGCGAACACCTAAAATTTCCGGGGATTCTTTTCTGTGTGTAATAGAGGTAAAAAACTACGCGCGCGGGCTCACGTCAAATGCACTCAAATAGTAGTGATCACAAACATATACAGGCTTACCACTGGTTAGCTATTTCCAGCTATATTGAAAATCGTAGCTATAGTGGACTTTTTCGTCAAGCATCAGCTTTTCTCAGCTATTGAAATTTCTGGTCGAAATTGATAGAAATAGCGGTGCTAGAACGCAAATTAACCAACACGAATCATCACAACAACTTGGAAATGAAACAAAAACAGTGTTTGAATATCTATGGGTGAGAGTTGTATAGTTTGTTGTGAAGACACCAATTCAATATTTCTTGTCATTAAAATAAAAATCGGCAAAAACTCAAGCAAAACATACTCATCAAAAGATCAAAAGTCATTAAAAAACATACACTAACTACTCTCAGTCTCAGCCATAGATTAATGGTGAAAAGAGTACTTGTTTGGATTCGCGAATGCGTTTGACTCATTTTGCAAATCGATAATGATTGACTTGTTAACTTGCCAATAGCAAAGATTTCTGAATTTCTCTGAAAATGTCAAAAATCATTGCACGAATTAGAAATCAGTATTTTACGTGAAAATTCATATGATGACTTTTGGAAATGAGTTTGAAAGCAAGAAAATTCAGCTCCGAGTGGCTAGAGCAATCAATTAAATTCGACGCTAGGGTAGACATGGGATTTAAGATTTGTGGAGATTTATGAAAAATTTAAAAAGATCCTTGCGTATGCAAGTAGTGCCAAGAGTTATAGAGATTCTCAAAGATTGGTTAAGATCGACCGATAAAATAGCAAAGAAGACGTCAACGAATTAGATGAATATTCAAATCTTGAAAAATTTGCCGAAATGACTTCGGGTAGGGCGAATTCAATTGTAGATTTTATGTAGTTTAATGTAGTGTTTTTACTTTATTTATGTAGGAACAATTTTTTTGATTAATCGGCTATCGAAAAACTGCTTTGTATTGAGATTTTGGCATTTAATTGGTAAGCTATTTTTGTAGGTATTTGATTCAAATTTTCAGCTTTTTCAGCTATATTATTTTTCAAAATTGAGTGGCAAGCCTGCATATTTGTTTGTTTCCATCTATGAAGAGGTACATCAGTGGCTCTGATTCAGAGCTATTGAATAGTCGCACAATTCCGTACACACGTTGGGTGTATGGTTCACACATAGTGTGGAGGAGGAGCAATAATGGAAACGGATTTGATTTTCACTTACTGATTATCGTCTTTCATCTCATCGTTTTTGTTCATTTTTGTTCATTTTTGTTTTTGTTTTTGTAAACGTTCACAAGCTGAATGAATATTCATAATTGTTTGATCATCTTTTCACTCTGAAATGGTTGATTTGCTCTCTTTGCATATAATTAATGAACGATTTTGATCGATCTTTAGAAATTATTATTTCCAAGGTCTTCTTGAAACCACGCATTACACCCAATGTACATGTACATGTACAATTGTACATACCACGCTAAAAGATGCGATGCATTTATGCATGTTTTTTCTTCTTCTGAATTTGATTTCAAGCCCAAAGCATTCCAACAAAAGTTTGAATAGAATGCGCCTCATTTAGTTTACAATGCTCGAATGAATGTTGCTCGAAAAAAGCGCATCTTCTCACTTTTCATTATAATTTTTGTTCTTATCTACTTTGCTACAAAATCGGTGTAATTGAACTAATTGCACTAGTTCTCTGCGTCTCTTCTTGCATTTGAATTTGCTGTCTTTGCTACAACTATCGGCGTAAATTAAGCAATAAATTGCATTTGATGATGGAAGAAAAGCAAATGAAAAAAAAATCCCAATAAAAAGAAAATTTATACGCCAAACATTTGACGTGAAGTGTTTCAGTTAACGGAATTGTGTTCATTGTTCTTGATAATTGGATTTTATTTGTATCTGTGCAATTAGAGCAATTATTTGTTGCTTGTTTGACATTCTAATCGCTTAATCGTTTGATATAAGTTTACATGATTTTTTTTCTGCTCTATCTTTTTCGCGGTGGGAAATTTTGAATCTGAAACACTTTATCGCCGTGATATCAATCTGGAGAGATTCCAAAATTCCCACCGGAAATTCAACTCAAAAGCGACTTTATGTATATAGCGAAGATATCTTGTAATCAAACACTCAAAAACATATATGCTGCACAGCAACTGTCACATATCATAGATTTGAAATCTGTGCTAAATTTTTTCGATTTGCAGCGGAAAAAGAAGTAGCGAGTGAAATGGCGTTTTCAGCATTTAGCGAAAACAAATGAATGTTTGCAAACATCTCGAGCAAAACCGACGTTGCGTTTATGATTGCTTTCTTATTTGTTACCATAAAAATCGCTTCAAGAAAGCCAAACCGGTAGACTTTTGCTCTTACCGGATGGTCATTCGTTTTGTACAATCAAAAACATGAATTTGATCGTCACAGTTGTAAAAATTGTACTATTTCAATTGGCTTTCCATTGAAACAACCAAACCGATCACATTATTTATTGAACTGTATGAAAAACCAAACTTGAACGAAGTCTTGGTAATTTTCGACTGATATCATGATCAAACACGATTTGGACGCGAAAAAATTGGGAAGGATCGATTTTATTCATATTAGAAAAAAAGTGTTTTAAATACCGAGCAAATTGAACTATAATTACAGCGGCGCTCGACTTTTTTTTTCTCGAAATAACTCGGTGTCCGTAATGTGAATCGCACAAATTTACTACACGGTTATTAACTTTAAACGCGTTATGAATCAGCGGCAGCCGCAATTTCTCGTGGAATGACTTGCTGCGTTCAAAAACAAAAACATACTGAACAAACATGTGCTCGAACCAACCATCGAACGCTCAAGATGCTGTTCATGCCATGCATCACCGCGGTGAGGCTATTGAGTGAGCGGCTTGTGCTGCTCCATCGCATATACGAGCTACATGTATCATCAGATTGTTTACAATTTTCAATACGATTGTTGTATTGGTAACTTTGACGGTGAAAATTAATGCACAAATCATTTGATCATAATATTTTGGATGGACCCAATATTCTTTGTTGTTGCAAACAATATGTTGTTGTTATTTTGTCTCGCTTTTTCATTCAATTGGTATTTCAACAGTTTGAAAGAATCAAACGTTGTCAATTTGGAATAAATCAAGTATGATTTCATGAATAATTGCTGAAATATTCAAGTTTTACATATTTGATTCGTTGCGCAAAACTTTGTCGCACGCAAAAATATGCACCTGATTTGGTATTCTAAGCACATTTCATCAGCAAACAGATAAGTGGCCAATGGCTTAACCATTTGGACGCTAGTCTTTGTTCAATTACACAATTGCTCACTCAAAGTCAAAACATGTCTGGAATTCGAACATGTTTGCACAATTTGTCAACACTATTGGCAGTTACTTTTTTGATTCATTCTCGAAAAAAACTCCACATTTTCGCTAATTCAAATCATGCAATAGGTTTTGTTTTTGCTAAAAAAAACTCTGAAAATTGCAGTTGCTTGACCTATAATTATTACCAAACTGACATATCCTCCGTATAGACAGGGACGGCAGAAATTTGGCTTCAAGAATTTTTTTTATATCAAATATTTTTTCTTCTGGGAATTTTTTTTTCTCCTCAAAAATAATCTTCTCTCCCCTATGATAATCATGATTCATGGAACACTTCTCGAACTGCTATTACTATTTCGAAGAAATGAAAACGTCACTACCAAATTATTATTCTCTCGATAAATTTAGATTCAATATTTTTTTTACCAAAGCTAATATTTTAGCCAAAATTGAAAACGTGGCTATATATGTGCTAGTACCATAATACGAAGTTGTTTGTGGATTTCCCTACAAAAAAAATTGCATTACGATTAATTGAATCATGCTTTTAGCACTTTTTTGATCACTGCCCACGGTGTTTAGTTTGGGACGTGCAATCAAACGCACGAAATTATTGAATAACATCAAGGCCAGCAAGAAGAAACAAAGCTCAAATTAAAGCGTGTTAAAGGCACGTAATTTTTTTGTTGTTGTTGTTTATTTTCGGAATTTTGAAATCGTTCACGTGAAACTATTGCTTTTCTTTTTAAAAGGCAATAGTTTCATTGGTTAATGCCGTTTTTTCCAAAATCTTCATTCTGTTTTTTTTTACATATTTCGATTGATGCTGTTACGGGTAAAATAGCAAGGTATCGCAATTTGTTGTCCAATTACGTGGACTATGCATGCGAAATTTGCTGCGAGCATTTGTATGCGGCGTGCATAGAATCAATGCGACAGACATTGCGTATGCGTGGTGTAGTTGTAGTGCAATAATCAATTTGAGCGGTGAACGTTTGATTAGCAAGCGCTTGAATCGATTCCGCGGTAAGGAAATAAAGTGCGGAACAGGTTTGTGTCGAAAATTATGGACATGTTTGCAATTCACTGTATAAACGTATTATTATTAGAGAAAAAGTAACTTCTAACTGGTTTTTGTTCCGCTTTTGAACGTATTCACTTGGCGCACTTCGCTTCAAATAGTGGAAATACAGATTTTATTGCCGAGTTGTTGGTGCGAAATCAAGCATGTAGTTAGAAACGCGGTATTCCATTCGATTTCGCGGAATTTCTATTCGAAACAAATATTTTGTCCGACTGACACACTAATCATTATGGACCAGACAGCGACATTTTCAGTATAGAACGATGACATTTCCATGAAACAACTTACGAGTTGTTTTATGGAATATGACTTCCAACGTACGATAGAAATTGCTTTTGAATAATTAAAATCAAATGATTGTTTTAAAATAATTTTATTTATTTTCATTTTCTTTAACATTTTCAGTGTTAATTTTTTTTCATTTTCATTTGTATTTTTTACACATCAATGAACAGATTTAGAGAATTTTGCTTAAATATTAACATTTACATTGATTTCAACGACATATTTCAGTTTTTTTTAAATAATGATTCTATTCGTATTTCATAAATTTACCGTTCTATATTCCCTGTGAACGGGGAAATTCCCCAGATGATGACTGTAATTGACTGGTTTAAAGAGCCACCCTTATGTTCCCGCTACAATTGGTACTCTTTCGATATAGTGTTCGTTTTGACTACAGTAAAACTTAGTTAAAAAATGTAGATGATTTTGTTTTTGGAGATAGTGATTTAAGCTTTCCACTTGATAAGACGTTCGTCATATTCACACTGTGTTTGTTCATCAATTCGCATTTTTCATGTGTTTTCCAGTAGGAATGATGCGGCCAACTCAATGGACCAACCACTTTTCATTAGCGCTTCTTCACACTGGAACCTAGTGGCCAGACCCAATCTATAGAAAAATAAACGAAAAATCATATTAAGTAAAGCACGAAATTATTTTTATATACAACAAGTTTGAGAAAAAATTGCAAATCGAAAAATTTATCTGTTCATTGCTCCAAAAGTGAGCTAAATCAATCAGAATATTTTATCGATGGAACAAATGACAAGCTACGTTTTTTTTACGCAGCGTGTTAATGTTTTTTCGAAAGGCGTTGACATAAAGAGGCTGGCTCAGGAGAGAGGAAGGAGAGCGGAATGTACTGAAAACCATCATTGAGTGAACGTAACTATAGCGCAATGATAATATGGTGAATGGTATGAGAAAAATGCCTAAAGAAAAATTGGCAATGACCTCGCCTCCATCAATGCCCGTGAGCAATTTTTCATTTTTAGCAAATATTAGCATAAACACGATGCAATTATTTATCAATATTTGTATGTTGCCACCAAACTGAAATGTTATAAGTATAAAATGAGAAAAAAAATCGAGCAACAGTTGGTTAAATCTATATTCATTGCATTCCATTCGATTCGGAAAATCGGTAACATGCGTGCATTGCAAACTTTCACTTTTTGCCCATCAATTTTTTAAATTATAATTTAAAAAAGGTGCAATGCTTTGTTTTCTCACCGTAGAAGTTGTTCAATTTTCATATTTTTGATCGTTCCACTGTTTGCCGCATTCAACGTATCTTTCGATAGATCATTGCAACTGCTCGTTGTTTTGGTTTTTTGGTTGACCTCCTCATTCGTAAAACTGTTGTTCACATAATTCGATTCCAGGTTTCCGTACAATTGATGGCCATGTGCCCGTTCTAATCGTCGTTGAATTTGTTGGGCAGACAGAACCGGTGGACCGGGAGCTGGCCGATGTGGCCGAATATCCATGTCTGCAGCTACTTCATCGTATATCACAGATTGAACATCGTTCGGCTGAATGGTTCGATAATAATCTGAATTGCTTGATGCTACAACATCGTACACATTTGCACCGGCCGCACTTCCGTATATGTCACTGGCAACAGAGTAAATACTGTCACCCACATAATTATTGGCCGATGTGACGAAGTTGTATTTTTGGTCATGTGTCGGTACACTATTATTACCCGTCATAGCATAATTACTGTAAAATTGATTGCTACTGCTCATTGTAACCGTTGTCACATTGTTTGTGCCCATTTGATTCGCAGTCGATGCATAAATAGCATTTAGATCCGCACTATTTATTTCGGAATTGTAAAGTTTTTTGCTCAATGCCAAATTTGTCGATGCACTCTCATTATTTGTCATTTTAATGGATTCATTATTGTATTTGGCCGGGCTTTGCGCTGCTGCAGTCGCATTATTTTGTTGGTAGATTTTTGTAGTAACATCATTCTTTAGCCAATTCGATGAATGCGAAATTGCGCTAACTGTGTTTTTTTTGGTATTGAGGGATGTAAAGTCATTGGCTTGTGCATTGTTAACGTTCACATTCAATGTGGCATTGTCATTTTTGTAAATTTCCTTTTCCAATTCCGCTAAAAATGCTCGATCAAGTTTTGGATTTTGCTCGGTCGATGTTGACGGCAGCGTTTGTGGATCAAAGTCATCGGTATCATTCAATGTTAATGAGCTCAAATTAACTTGTAGTGAATCGTTTAGAGTGCAGTTGTCCGACACTTTTAAGGGGGAATCATGAGTCGACTGGTTTGCTTGTTTAATTAAGTCAGAGATAGGAACGTCATTTGTTGCTGTGGTAGCACTTGAAAGTTTATGATTGACTTTTGGGCTTAATGATGCCATTTTATTTTGAACAATTTCATCAATTTCACTTTTTGCGGTTGGTCTAGGTCGGCTGATATAGCCTAATTCTTTGCAACTTGTCGTTTGGATCTGATTGCGAATGAATTTTCCTGAATTGTCTTCAGATGAGTATAAATGTGATGATGATGATGCTGCCAGCGATTGTGATTGTGATTGTGTAGATGCAATGTGTGACGTATCGAATGGGTCTAAATTTCCGTAATTATTCATTACAAAAGTATTCATATAGGTGGGCGGCGCCGCATACGGTGGCGGTTCTGGTTTTATATTGCTTTCACTATCAAAAAATCCAACTGCATTCAAATCATCCGGATACCCTTCAGTTGGCACATCAATTGGAGCATCAAGAATGCTCATGTCATTCATTTTCGATGCGAATGCACTGTCGAATACACCACCATTCGACATTAAAGCCGGAATGTCTTGTTGCTGCGGTGATGTCAAGTCGATGAGCATTCCATCTTTTTCTTTCTTTTCAAAATTTACTAACTTCGGTTGTGGCGGTCGCTTTGGCGCTGTCAGTGACTTTCGATTCTCATGCTTCATAGTTGCTTGTTTCTCATTCTTCAATTTGTTGTACGCGAATTGCTTCTGAGCATTGCTTTTCCGCTCTCGAACATATTGCTCTGAAGCGCATTTATACTTTCGTTCCTTTGCCGAGCTGGATGCTGAAAATCGGACAAACATTCGGTTTAATGCATTTGTTACAAGTTGACTGCACGAATGCGTTACATACCTCGAAAATGAACGGTTTGGGCATTTCGCTCATCACCTAAATAGTTTGGATCGATGAACGATGGATTTCCCCATGAATTACCGAGAATGGAACCGTGTCCAGTATGACGAAATGACTCATTCAGCGGCCGACTTATATCCGAAGTTTTTCCCTTTAGAGGTTCTACTATATGTCTGTTGGAAGTTTATAAAAAAATTACACCGGATTTTAGTGGGTTTACGCTATGAAGTTCACCAGGCAGTTCCATATCTGAATCACTCACCTTGGAAATGTTCCAATGTCGAATGTTCTTTGGTTTTGACCTTTGATGAATCTCAAATCTGGTCTTTCGTCAATTAATGCTATTATATCGCCATGGTCAATGTTAAGTCGTCCCTCAGCCATACAAGCCGATTTGGCACGAACCAATGGAGGCGAAACACAATGCATAAACTCTCTGGAATCATACAAAAAAAAACTCATGAACGTTTGAAACTTGATAACAAAATGATTGAATATCAAAAAAAGTTACTAACTTGATTGCAGCGAATGTTGGTCGCTCTTGATCGTTTTTATCCCAGCACTGCAGCATCAACTGATAAACATCGGGTGGACAGGAGTCTGATTGATTCAATAAATCAAAATTCGGTTATTGAAAATTTCGAAAAATTTAAATGTGTCCTGCTGAATCAATGCGTTTATATAAAATGTACCTGGATGAATAAGTCGTTCGCCTTCTCGGTCAATTTTTCTCAATATTTGTGAACCATTCAGACCAACCCACTGAAATAAAATTGTTTGAACAAAATATAATGAATATAGAGTCAACGAATATGAAGAAGCCGATATAGATCCAAGGATGAACTCACCGGATCTTCGCCAAATGTATACATTTCCCACAGAGTGACAGCAAACATCCAACTATCCGAGGCATGGCTAAATTTTCGATGCCTCAAAGACTCCGGCGCACACCATGGAAATGGGACTTTTTTATGTTCAGTCATGACATAGCAATCGTCTTGTTGCGGCAGTGCTCGCATCAGGCCAAAATCGCCAATCTTCACTTTATTTGTTGACGTCAATAGGACATTACGGCACGCAAGATCACGATGCAAAAATCGTTTCTGCTCGAGATATGCCATACCAGTTGCTATTTGACACGCCCACTCCCACAAAACTGATATTGGTGTGTGTTTGCATTGTTTTCGAAGCGTATCGAGTAATGAGCCTCTTTCCGCTAACTCCGTCACCATCATCATAGGCTGAGTTAAGACAACGCCAAACAGCCGGACTAAATTTGGATGATCAAGTGCATGCATTGCTTGAACCTCTCGAAAGAAGTCTTCAATAATACCGGGTTGTGATAAATTGTCGGCTTTCAAAACTTTCACGGCAACCGGCTGAATACTGTTGGATGGATTTGTCCATTCACCGCGTCTAACCACGCCGAAACTTCCATCGCCCAATTTGATGCCGAGCGTTAAATCTTTCTCGTGTATGAGACACGACAGATGTGATGTCGATTGATGTGATTGGCCACTCGTCTCAGCCGCAATTGCTTTCTTAATCGGTTGCTGTTTTCCGCCGCCGATCAACTTAGATAAAATGTTTCGTCGCCATTGTTGTGCTTTTCGCTTTTTCACCGCTTCCATCAAGCGACGTATTGCCGGTTTTCCTAATCCAATTTTTTCTAAATCATCCGAATGTACATAATCAAAATGCGCCAGGCGAGTGATCTGCAATTCATGATTGATTCTCTGATAAAATTGTTCCAATTGTACATCACGCAGCAGCTCAGCAAGCCATTCACTCTCATCCGCGTCCATTGTGTATCACTTGTGTGTTCGTTTCGTTTTGTTATATTATGATTTGCAATTATCTCGTCGTTGTTTTATCTGCTTACTTCACTTTTGTAGTCACGCGTTCCAACCAATCGGCCCCGTTTTCCCGCACGTTAATTGATCTACACAGAGTGAATGAAAGAGAAGAAGAAAACATGTAAATTATGCATTCAACATATAATACGAGACCTTGAATATTTTATTACTAGAATGCATCGTGATACTTTATTAATCAATCTATCTATGTATATAAAACTGAACGTTTTGTCCATGTGTGTGTTTGTCTCGAGTGTTCGGCCACTTTTTTCATTCATGGATGTGTTGATATGCGTGTGCCGTCAGACTTCTCGTGGACTGGAGATGATTCGTGTTACATTTTTATCGTTCGATTTTTAAATCTGGAATTTATCTCATTACATCAAGGGGGAAAGCACTAGATTTGTATAATTCAAATAATGCAATCTAGTACAAAAATAATCCCAAATAATCCTTCGGAATTCTCAATAATGCTCAATAATGCTATTCATAATATCAATAAATAGCAGCGAACTATGGTCAAGTAATTGATGCTTGCGTGCATTTGAATGCCTTGAAAATAAAGTGGGTCGATAGTAGATATGAATTGGTGAGACCTAGAAGAACATCAGTTTGTCAAACGTCGTAGCAATAAAGAGAAGTATATTTTACTGTTACTAACAATGGTTGAAAGAATGTATGTTCATTTTTTGCGGGTCGTCCCGGTTTTTCACGGTTTCCACGTAACTGATAAGAGATAACAAGGAAGGCCTCGAGCCCTATAAATTTGCTGAAGACGCCGAGTATCTATCTTTTATCAGTTCAGCGAAAAACACGAATTTTGTTGTACAATTGCGATTTTTTGCGTTTTTCGCTGAACTGATAAGAGATAACGACTTGGCGTCTTCAGCAAATTTATAGAGCTCGAGGCCTTCCGCAACTTTGCTTCAGACAGTTCTCACTCATCTCCTATGAGTTTCGGAAAAAACGCGAAGGATGATAAAAAAAACATGCCATAGACCGATGTTTTTGATTTGCGCCCAATTGGTAAGAGGTAAGAGATAAGAGATAATTGTCTTCAGCAATGTTATAGAAGATCTTGTGTACTACAACGTTTGACAAACTTGTGTTCTTCTAGGTCTCACCAATTCATATCTACTATCGACCCACTTTGTTTTCAAGGCATTCAAATGCACACAAGCATCAATTGCTTGACCATAGTTCGCTATTATTTATTGATATTATGAATAGCATTATTGAACATTATTGAGAATTCCGAAGGATTATTTGGGATTATTTTTGTACTAGATTGCATTATTTGCATTATACAAATCTAGTACTTTCCCCCTTGCATTATATCCTCTGTTTATCAATCTTCAAAGTGACAAATCAAAGTAAAGAAATTTCCGCTCTTAATTGGAACGGTTGCCTTTTGTGTGGCAAATATTTGGATTTGAATTGGCCACTTCAAAGATAACCGATACATGTTGGTTTACAGAAGGCATTGCTTCCAAAAACGAATATTCGACACACACAATCCATCGAAACGGCAAATGCGTGCGTTGCATTTTATTTGGTGCCGATTTTTTTCTTCTTTTTTTTGAACAAATCGAAACGGCCTTGATGAATTCCAATTTGTTACGTCGTAAATGATCATCGTTCCATAATTTTCATGATAATAGAGTGGCTGAATCGTCAATACGCTTTGTTAGCACGGCGGCTTTGTTTTTGACGAAGATTTCGGCATGATTTGCACTTTAAACTGCGAGCCAAACTGAACGAACAGCCAGACAGATGACACTTGACATTACAGTGCCAACTTTCTGAATTTATAAAATGCAAAAAAAAACACAGCAAACTCAATACTATGAACACCGTATGATAGAATGTAAACAATTGTGGTTTTGGTTTAAATGTGTAACTCATTTGATCTGTCTAATTGCACTTTCTATTTTCTTTGCGGTTAAGTGGGATGGATGGAATACATTTTATATCTTCAACTGCAGAGTAATTTTGCGAACGATATTGAAGAAGAAGCTAACTCAATACACCTTACGTGTCACACGTATGAAACGTTAATTATATATGTTCACAGATTTTTTAAAACTCTTTGAATAATATCCGATTGACTTTCGAATAGTCGCAATTTTGTAAGGGAAACCACATTAATTTGCATTTTTTTTTGGTTGATGGTAAATTGAAAATTTCGATAAAAAAGACACGTTGATTTATTCTCGAGTAGGACAGGAAAATTGGACCCGTGCGCATAAAAACGACTTATAAAAACGTCGCCGAACAAAGCGAAACACCTATTTGTTACTCGTTCAATTCGGAACAAATTGTACATTACGGTATGTTACGCCGACAAATCTATGTTACGTTTTGATCGGCGATTTTTTTGTAATTCGTTTTTATGCTCACGGGTTCAATTTCGTTTCTTGTGACTGTCTTCATACTGTTTGTTTTTTAAATATAGATTGCAGGCAGATGTCTTGCATTCATTTGTATGTTTGTTTGCGTGTGGCGAAATTCATGAAATTTTCGCGAGATTTGTTTTTTTTTTCATTCATTTGATAAGTGCACTCTGAACGTTGACGCAAATGTTCAGTTCAACTCCACACGTTGTTGCAATATTTTTATGTCTATGTGTGCGTGTGTGTGTGCGCTACACATGCAACCCACTTGCAATGCAAGCTGCATTGTTCTCAAACGACTTTATACACTGCAGGTGCAATTCGTTTTTTTTTTGGCAATAAAACTCGTTTGTAATGCAAATAACAGCATCATGATGTTCTTCCATTGTCTCGTAGCATTTTCCTCTCGCTCTAGTCCACACGTTTTCAATTTTTATTTCGTAAGAATCATTGATGGATAACAAAGTTGGCACTTGTTTCGTATTTATTATTCTTAGGATGGTCGCCAACAACGGCAATGTTTTCTTACTTATTTTATCTCTTCGTTTCATGTTGTCTCTTTCTTTAAAATATCTTTATTTGCTTGCGATTTCCTCTTTTGTCCACACTTTTTTTGCAATTATTTCGCAATTTCCTCTTGTTTATTACATTCTTTCCAATGAAGCTTATCAAAATAGTACTTTGATAATTTCGCTAAAATTTCGACGATAGCCATAAATACATTCTGCGCTTAGCTGATTCATCAAGTCGAGCTATATATCACTATATATTTTTTTCTCTCACTAATTCTATCGCAACCTTTTCTTCTTCTGCGAATTTCATTAACCAGAATACAACAGAAACAACAAACTATGAAATGAACTTTGATGCAACACATCCGTAAGGGGTTTCCCCCTATAGTTAATGTCAAAATTTTACTCACCAATCGGCATTGAATGAAATGCGAATTTGGATTTAGTTTCATTTTCGTTGTTGCTATTCAATTAATTTTTATGTTGAAATGATTTAAGAAAGCCCCATTGATTTTCTTTCACTTATCTAAATCAATTTATTGATGGAATGTTGTTCGTTTAATTGTGGGTTTCTTATTGATCAAAATGCAACATGTTTCTTTCTGAATTTTTTGTCTTAAATTATAAACTGCCGATATGAACTAAAAAAAAAGTTTTTAATTCAATTGTGAATATCAAAATAAGAGAGCACACAAAAGCGTAACACAGAATTAATTTACATGGTTCTCAAAAGACAACCAACCAATTTTACTGAATTGAAATGCACACACAGTACGAAGAAAAAGTTCATTTGTCGATGATCTATCTCGTAGTTGTTTGGTGTTCAAAATTTTACATGCGACAATGAATGGTAATGCCACCATCACACACACGCTCACATTCAGCAAGAAGAAAAAAAAATGAGAGAAAACCCGAAAAATTACAAGAAAGAGAAAGAAAAGGTCGCAAAGCAAAAACTCAAAACAGAAACTGAAAAAGAAAACAAACGAGCATATGAAACAATTGAACGATCTCAGCCATTGATTTGCACTTGCTGTCACATCGATTGTTCTCTCTCTTCCTCTCTCTTTCGTTGTGTGTGCGCTCGTTTGTGACGGAATATTTTTTTGATGGCGTATTTTCTGTTTACAATGAAGCTACAGCTCACAACTGTCGTTCACTCACCGAGAATTGTCCGTTGCAAACCTACAGCATATCAAAGCGGACGCACACACACAAGCACAGCACAACATACTCAACATACTCAACATATTACATTCATACATACCAACGAAATCATTTTGCGCATCCATTGGTAGCAGCGCGTTTTTTGAAATCTGCTATCTCAGCTCTTCGATTTTCGTCTTTTGATGGAATATAACAAAATATTTGATTGAGAATAAAATTCCAATTATTTATTTAGAACCTAAAAATAGTTGTTCAATTATTCACTTTGTAATTATTTTAATATTTTTCATACAAATTTTCATGAGATTTTTGATACTATTGGTATGAAAGTCGCACAATTTTTTGTAGATAATAACAATGGATATTAGACTAAATTCGGATAAGGCAAACTTCATTTCGTATTATAAAGATCTCGCCGTATGTTTGCTTGCTTTTCGCTTCAATTTGTACACAGCGCCACTCCACATACTCGTGCCTGTGCATCTAAACTGCCATAATGAATAGATGTTCATTTCGTGTGGCGAATTCAGACACTTTGAAAGTGTTCAATCTGTTTTATCGAATTTCACTTTTATACATTTGACATTTTGGGCTAATGCTGACACTTCAAGTAGAAAGCTAATAAATAAAAAATAAAACTCCATATTTATTACAAAAACGCAACAAACAAACAAATGGAATAAATCAAAATAAATCACGAAAACAAAGCGAAAAAGTGATATTTCATCAGTGAAGTTAGGACAGAAATCGGCAAGTGAGCGCAGCGTGTATACGAAATTACATGATAATAGCACAAATAAAATCAAGGACGCTGAATAATGGATAGATTAACAACAATTAGTGCATCATTTTTTATGGCAGCTGATGTATTTGCAATTATCAGCCTAGCAACTCCAGACTGGATAGTTACAGATGTTGGAGGTATATGTCTATTGCACTTTAATTGTGTCATTTTGGTTTTTATTTGTAAATATGTGGCGAATTGATGCATTTTAGGTGAAACACGACTGGGCCTGATGTGGACTTGTATGACCTTATACAATCGACCTCAAACTTGCTTCACACCTGAACTACAACCAGAATGGCTATTGGCACTGATATGCATTTTCGTTGGATGCATTTGTATAACAACCGCCATCATTTTACTGGCCTCAAGTAACTGGGACCGAGATGTGATTCCATATGCGCGATGGGTTGGATTTACAGCGAGTAAGCATCTTTTTGACATTGTATCCACGTATCATCAGAGGTCGATGAACAAAAAAAATCATAACTGAATATTGTTTATGTTTTAGTGGTGCTCTTCTGCCTGGCTGCAGTCATATTTCCACTTGGTTTCCACATTGATGAGATTGGTGGCCAACCATACCAACTGCCGAACTCACATCAAGTTGGTTTCAGCTACATCATGTTTGTACTCGCACTTTGGATCACTGTGATATCTGAGCTATTTGCTGGAAAAGTATGCCTGCCCCATTTCTGATTGATTGCTCCCTAAGATATTATCGAATATCTGCACAATTTCATCATTTGTTGAAAATGATTTCACTCCATTGGTTCAATAATAAGTTTCTCAAGATGGTTCCGCCTTGCGTTTAACATAATAACCAAGAAATCAAGTCGGATCAGACGGAGAAACATAAAGACTAGGAAATAAATTAAAGAAAATTTAGATAGTCGGATCAATCAGTGACTATCAATCATTTTGGCCCACGTTCCAAAATATTCCGTTTGTACGGTTATCCGTACTATTTAGCCAAAGCTACATCTTGATAGAATGTTTTTAGAATTATTTAACTGTTTTAAGATGATTTATTCTCACATGGGATTTGTAAATAGCAATAAAAAGGATTATCCCAATTTGAATATGTTTTTATTCATTTTAAAGAAAGCGTGATTCAAAGGCTTGACCAAGAGCCTTATCATGTTATATATCCATAATCGAAAAGTTAAAATTGGAAATAAAATTTTTATTGTAAAATAGAATCTGGTATTTTATTTTGGCCGATTTTCAATAATTCTGAGTTTTATTCGTCTAAACTAAACGCGCGAAAAGAACCCTTAGCATCGTCATACTCACATAGACGAATTTTATATGGAAAAATAAACAATTTACATAAACGCCTAGGTGTTTCTCCAAGAAAACTTTAAATCCAACTTGGGGTTTGGAGTTTCGAGGTCATTTATATATAGCCTCAGAAGAAAATTGATTTTTGATCTTCAATTTTTTAATTGTAATCTTTTCTCGTAGATTTTTGAAGAAGCGAAATTACATTAACGGCCAATTTATATTGTTCGGGATACATTTAATCCGAGGGGTAAAAGTCAGAGAGGTAACAAAAAATGTATGACCCAAAAATACAATATTTGCACCGAAACTTCAATTTTTTGCTTAAATTCTCCGCTTTCTCGTCATAAATTTTGATAATAATGACATTTCGAATCAGTTCATTTTTTTACCCCTTGGATTTTTACCAAGAACTCCGCTCGTGGTAAATTTTATAACGAGGTGATGAAGCGTGATTTTTATTTTAATCAAAAATTGATTCAAAATGTTTTTAATATCAAAATTTATGATGAAAAAGCAGCGAAGTTAAGCAACAAATTGAAGTTTCAGTGAAATATTGTATTTTTGGGTCATACATTTTTTGTTACCTCTCGGATTTTTACCCCTCGGGATAATTTTTTTTTCAAATTTCTTGGTGTGAAAAAATATTTGAAATACTTTCAACATTATTAATAGCCGGAATGGAGTTTAGCATCAATTTCCTATGTGATAGGTATAAATTTTATCGAAAAATTTGGTTTTATGACGAAAATGCATTTTTCCCCTCGGATTAAATTTATCCCGAACAACATAAATTGGCCGTAATATAGATCCCGTGTTACATGCATGTAACACTTTTCGCCGAATAATGGATCCACGTTTTGTACGTGGCTAGAGGCTTTTAACTTGTTCGCAAACGTGAGCATAAGCGCGATTATATTATGTCACATTCAATGTTTGCTATAATCAAAAAGTCTAAAAAAAATTTTTCGTTCAGTTTTATAAAAATATTCAACTTGTGTATTCAAAGGAATCCTTTGAAAGGATGTACCGAGAAAATCTAGGGGTTAAACATCCCTAGAGAGGATTCAACCCATTGGATGAGATAAATTTATAAGGATCTCTTGAATGTATCAAAATAACAGATTAAATTTGTTGCACGATCTTTACCGATTTTTGAGGTTATATTTCTTTACAAATCTCAAATCCCGTGCCAAACATCTAGCATATTCGTCAACGAACGATTTAGCAAACGCATTTTTGTCACTTCATTCTTTTCTATCTAAGATCTTGAATAAATCAAAAAATGATCACGTCTGAATATTTTGAACGCTAAAATGTTCGTTAAATTAGCGAACGTAGGCTTCACTATGTTCGAAAGTCAATTTATTTGTCCACGTCTTGAAAATCAGCAAAGTGTATTTGTATATGGGGAGAAACCTTTGATTAGAAATTAAATTCAAGTTTGAAAAATAATTTTTTAAAGACTCTAGATAAAAAAGTGATAAAGTTCGTTAGATCGTTCGTTGACAACTTTGCTACCTAAGAAGAAGTGTCAAGACACTGGGATAAATCTTACAAAAAAAAATTTAGAGGGTGTAAATGTTGGCAAAGGAAAATGTTTTGACATTGCGATGTCATACAACAAAAAAAATTCCAATTCAAAAAACATTCGCTTTCGTATGCGGGGGCAATACTTTTGATTCCATATAAAAACAAATGATTTTGTGTCGGATTTCAAAATTATAAATATTTATTCATTTTCAAAAGAAACATTTGTTGTGCATGATTAAATTTCAATGTTAAATATAAACAAACTTTTCAATAGAATCTGGATTTTAAAAGTGGGGATACATCATTTGCCCAAATTAAAATACAGGGTGTTTACAAATTGAGTGCGAATATTTTAACCACGTATTCCTGGGGTCATATCTTCATCAGTATAGAGTATTCAAAACAAAAATCTCTATCTCACCTATTCTTACGAGAAAAAAATCAATTTTAACGATCTATTAATTAGAAGATTGAAAACCGTTGATTTCCATTGTTTCCAAATTACATCCCCATATCTGAAATCCTTTAAAAACAAAATACTTTCTGCACCTTCTAATCCATTTTTCTTGGGTTTACGACAAAATTATTTTCCGAAAATGGACACACCGATTCAAAATTTCACAAACTTACTACTACTTATGAGTAGTTTGGAGCGAAAATGTTATACAGAAAAGTTGAGTGGAAAAATGTCGATGATGAATGAGCGGAAAATAGATAGCTATATAGTAAACTGTATAGTAAACTATAGTGAACTATATAGCTATCTCTTTTCATTTGACATTTTTCCTCTCAACTTTTCTGTATTACATTTTCGCTCCAAACTACTCATATGATGTAAAAACGATACCTTAATAATGCATCATTTCAAGATGTTTGGTCCCTAGCTTAGTTTTGTAGGTTTTTCTAACAGATGTGTACTCTAAAAACTAAAAACATTGTAAGCACGCCAATTTTGGGGTGATTTTCGAATCAACAGTAAAAATTCTTCAAAATTGACCCACAATACTGCGCATAGAATACAAACGTTATATAATTTTGTTGACACTAGCTGAGTTTGTCAAACTAGCCCAATATGTACCAGTTACACATCTGCTAAAAAAACTCAAAATTAAATTGGGAACTCAAAAATACACTATTTTAGAGGTCGCTAACAAATAATAATATCCACTTGAATATTTTTGTGCGATCTCTGTGATTTGACACGCAAAATTCACTCCATACATTACTGCCGAGTTGTTATGTCTGTGCAGACAAACGTGTTTGTTCGTGTGCAAAACGATCAACACAGTCGGTCCACTGTTTGCACTAGTACCTGCACACACGTATATACTACACAACGATACGCTCACGTGTTGCTTGGTGAATGCATAAAAAATATCACATAAAAATATTCAAGCGGATAATAATATTTGATAGCGAGCTCTGTTTTCGACAATTTTTTGAACTTCAGATTTGGGTTCAATTAAACACTTTCAGTCAATTTTTTCTGTAGTTTCTGCATTGAATAGTTTAAATAGCCTCAGTATCTAATGAGTTAACAATCATGTGTTTATTCCGAAAAAATACGCTCGCAATGCCTATTGGATTAGAAACAGGGGATTAGAAACAGGGCATTTTGAAATGTGCCGAATGTTTTAACCCAGTAAAATGACAATTGGGGAAAAGTGTTCATACACTTTTCTCTCCTCCTGAGCCCAGGAATATGTGGTAGAGAGATAAGCATTCAATTGTGACACATTGAATTCGTCTAAATATATTCCAGAAAATACTCAGTTTATCTTGAATAGAAACACTTCAAGTGGCAACCACGAAGTCACTCTGTTTTTGTAATTGGATTTTTTTTTGAATTTTAATCATTATTGAAATTAAGCTTGCAAAACAAATCAAGAATGAAATATTCAAGATGGTTTAAAAAAATACAATAAGCCACGCAACCAAGAAAATCTTCCCTTTAAAGAATAATTAATACCGGTAAATGATTAAATTAATTAATTAAACAGGAACCAAAATCAGAACAACAATATTCTACTGTTGCGTGTAAAATAATTGCATAAAGTATAAACGGTTTTCTCCACGTTTCTGTTGAATCTTGTTTCAAACGGATGTTTGAGCAGGGAAGTTGGTGGTGCTTACCTCAAAGAATATGTTGTCAAATCTTGACGGATGAACGAAAAAGTTCGTGCATATCATCTTCATCATCATCGTTCTGTACAGTATTCTACATTTTCCACATTACAATCTCTTTCCTCAAAAGAATTTTCGTTCATCGGTCAGAATTTATCAACTAAAATACATTGTACAATGTTGTATGTTAAATAACAGCCATGTTAATTTCCACACAAGGCAAACAAATTATAAAACACATTTCTGTTTTACTTTTCAACTATTCCATAGTTTTCTTTCAATTTGAAACTGTATCGAATGTGTCCATCATTTGGCAATTCTATATTCCTTGTGGAGCGATTTCCAAAACCAATTTCCGTTTTTTTTCTTTGAATGTCAATTTTTTTCTATTATGTTTCTTTTTTTCTCTCTCGGTAATTAAATGTTACTGCCCGAAATTCATTTACAATTTACATACATCGTGCTATGTTTTCATGAAAACACGAACTTAGCGGTGTAGTATATAGCAGGCCTAGATTTTATTTCTTCAATACTCGTTGACTCTTGCTGCAGAATTGTGTTTCGTTTGATAAGGCCTGTTGGATGAACAATCTCATATTTTTAAGAATATCTTGACATCATAGCTTCGAAAAAGCATAATAAGTTGTTCAAAATTTTAAATGAGGCTTTCGTTAAAAAGTGTGATAATTTTTTTGGGAGATTTCTCCATTTTACAGATTTTCTTCTGGTTTTTAATAAAATGTATTTCTTTTTTGTTAAGATTTTGTGACAGAAACGTTTTTATATGCAATATCGAAATCAATGATTTCATTATTTATTTCGTGTAGGTAAAATTTTTGACATTTTTTCTGTTGATTTTTTTTTCCATTTTTTTATATATTTTTTCCTATTTATCAAAGAAAATATGCTTTAATTGTTTCACAATCCGTTGCAACTTTTAAAATATAATTTGCTGATTTAAAATCAATGTTCACATTTTTTTAATTTTTTTTTTATTTTTTTTTTTTGCAAAACAACAAACGTTTGTTTGCACACTGGTGATATCATGACATGTCTGTTCACCACATGCAAATTGGTTTGTTATTCCTTTTTTCCTTATTCTATACTAAGATATTTTTATTTATTCTTTTATTTTTATTATATTTTTTTACCAATAATTTTATACAAATTTATTCCAAATGTTCCATTTGTTTAAGACATCAAAAAGAACAGATTTACCGAAAAACTACAAATCGGAACTAATTTTTTTTATGTTGTTGGTCTTGCAAGCTCTGATCGAACAAATGTTCTACCATGAGTTTAGAAGAGTTCCAGCAAGACATGTACAAAATCAACATTAGTATCCATTTGATTATTTTTTTAAAAATTTGTTAACATACATGCTGAATCTAGATTGAAATTAGATGGGTGATTTTTTTTGCATTACTATATCTACATCTCTATGTGTGTTCTTACGTTAAGCTAAAAAATAATTTTTTAAGTTTTGCTTGATAACTTTTTTTCATTTTTTAATTTTTTCATTTTTGTTTTGCCATTTTCTTGGGATTTTTTTAAATTTTTTTCTCATTTTTTCTTCTAAACATAGTTACAACTTTTTACATTATGAATATTGTTGTATTATAAAGTTCTATTATTTCAATAGTGGGGATTATTAAAGATTGCCGTGAAAAAGGTTTTTCGTTTGTTTGTGGTTTTATTGAAAATAATTATATAAGCCATTGCTGCGTTGGCCCAGTTCTCGTATCGCTGCAAATGGATCTTTCTCTTCGTTTTTCTGTTGTTGTTGTTTGTTGTGTGAATGATTTTGATTTGATTGTTGGTTTGAAGCGCCTTGTGACAACACACTGGCATAGGTTGTAGTTGAATTAGTTGGCCGGGCATTGTGTTCATCTTCATTCCGTTTACACTGGTCATTCGCATTTTGCGAATGTGCCAAATGGTTAATCGAAATGATATTTTGGTTTGAATTTGAGTGCATACTGAAAAAGGCAAGGCTTCAGTTAGACACATCGGCAAAAAAGAGCAATACCAATCGAATGAATTAGAAATTCAAATTTCACTTACTTTTGTGTCATGTTCACCGAATTGGATAGCGACTTTACAGGGTTGACAAATGTTTGATGAGCTGGGAGTTGTGGTAAGCCTTGAAAATGTTGTGTATTTCCATGCAAATCATTTGAAATATGACTTTGACCGAGGCTACCATTGTGATTGAATAAATTCTCAAACAGATTATGATCGTTGATATCATTTCCAGGTGTCATCATTGGCATTTGCATATTGTTAGATTGTACATTGAAACTGGCACCTGCTTGACGTTGATACAGAGGGATAGACTGTTGCTGTTGTTGTTGTTGCTGCTGTTGCTGCTGTTGTTGCTGTTGTTGCTGTTGATGTTGATGCTGGAAGTTTGGCTGTTGTGGTACAGGCGTATTTTGTATAGAATTTTTTGCTTGCATTCCCAAATCATTTTGCCGTGCGCTAATTAGATCATTTAGACTCGCAATAGACGAATGATCGCCACCATTTCGATTCGAAAGTGATGGCAAGTGTCCTCCTAAAAATGGTGTGTCATTCGGCGGATGGTCTTTTTTGGCGAGCAAACTTCCTAACGTTGGTGCCGGTCCATTCACAAGATTCTCGAACAAAAGGTCTACATTCTGTATTGATGGTGTATTCAATGCTATTGGCGGCTTCGACATAACTGATTCCAAGTGCAACGGAATTTGACTCAAAATTTCGGCATATTTATTTGCTGCCTCCAGTCCTTGCGTTTCACTTAATTTCACGAACCATTTGAATTGATTATCCTTTGATTCTGCAGCCATGTCGTAAAAGCTCATATTGGATGGCAATAGGTTTGAGAAGTCTACGTCACGAAAAACAAAGTCGAAACGAATGCAATCAATTAATAATGCATAAATGCGATTGGTGGCGGGCAATATTTTCAATTTACCTGGAATGTTTGGTGTCTGGAGCTGTTGTTGGTGTACTGGAAGCATTTTTTGCTGATTCTGATTCATCAATGTTACGTGTTGTGACTTTGGGGCAGCTAAATGATGTTGGTTCATATTTGGCATGGGCTGGGAGTGTTGTAACATTTGCTGAGGGCTAAAAAACCAAATCATCCATAAAAAATTTGATCGCTTATGCTAAGTAAATTAAATTACAATTACAGACAGAAGTTCGAAAAAGCGTCTCCAATCTAATGCAAATTCTGTACAAAGGGAGACTCTTTTTTAAATTTTGTTTGTCGCTATGGACTAACTCACTGTATAAACTATGTGTTATACACTTACTCTATTGCATGATGATTTTTGCTGTCCATGAAAAAGGGGAATTTGTTGTTAGCCGGCACCTGTAGACATATAGACATTGACATTGCATTAGTCAGCAATAATACAAATTTTTCCAAGAATTAATTCATAGCGAGTCAAAAAAGTAATAGGCCCTCAGCCACAGACGTTTCACGGGCAATTTCAATGCAATGTTTACTTTCATTTTGTTGATGGTAGTTTCAAAATGTAACGTATAGAGAATGACTTTAGGTATATATAAGTCAGTTAGAACTTTTTACTAACCTGCTGTGGAGGGTGAAGAGGTTGCATGGGAGAGGTTTTGTATAAATTCTGTTGATGTAATTGGTTAGCACGCTGCGTTATTGATGCCATAATATCACTAGTCAAAGGCGACACACTCATTTCTTGTTGACCATGCGGTTGAGGAGTTTGCGTGGCCAATTGCGATGGATTCGACATAGTATTGATATTTCGCATATGATTTTGAACGTTTGCGCCGTATATTCCAGGAGATTGTTGCTTACTACCTTGCATGTATGGAATCGAGTTATGATGCAAATGTTGTGATCCACTACTGCAATGGGTGAGTGCAAGTTGTGATTAAATTCGGTTCGTTTATGAAATATTGAGCTGCAGTATACTACTTACGTGGCTTGTTGCCGTGTAATCAATGACATGTTCAAGTTTAATGGTTGCTGCTGTGGTTGTGGCGGCTGCGGTTGTGGTGCACGAGGGAAATTCTGAAAATTTGTATTGATATTGTGAGTTATCCATAAAAATGGCATTTAATCCTAGATGAGTTTGAAATTGGGTAAATGATATTTTCTATTTGTCAAGAAAATCAAAATTCTTACGGTATTTTCCGTTCGAATTGCATGGTTTGGCTTTGGCCACATATTCTGGTTACTGTTGAAGGGTGGTGCCCAGAAATTCGGTTGATTATTGGCCGTATAGTTGAGTGCCGGCTGCGGCATTGCTTGGTTCCGTATCATTTGATGGTGTTGATTTTGATAAAAGAACGGCGGATGTTTGTTGGTCACTTTTGATGGTACAGCGGGTTGTGTTTGCATTCCACCAAATCGATGCTTATAATTGTGTTGCATCGACGGATCATTTTCCACCCGAGGCTGTGAATTAAGCATTGTTTGTGTAGAATAACCAATGTGTGACATGCCAGGCGGCAGGACATGTGGAGGGTATACTTGTTGCTGCTGTGCATGCATTTGTTGTTCTCTCAGATACGTTTCAGCTTGTAGTGCACGTGGAATAAATTCGGGCGCTAAAGGATTCAATACGAACGTCTTTTTCAGTTCGACACCGTCCAATTGAGATCGCAAAAGTGACCATGTAATACCGAATAAGCTTTTATTTTGATTACAGATCTCAATAAATCGCTCCCATACTTTTCTACATCGTCCAACTGAGCACAAGGCCACCGGATCTCCAACAACAGCCACAAGACTTTGCGCTCGAGTAATAGCGGTGTTCAACAATTTTGAATTACTCAAAAATCCATAGTCCATGTCTTCGGTTTGACTACTTGAGTTTAGATTACCCGAACTGGGCAATGTTCGACGTGTTCTCACTGTAGATAAGAATATCGCCCGAAATTGTTTGCCTTGCACATTTAGAACACGTTCCACAGATATGCCTCCCATTTTTCGCTTACGCAATTCCGAGCGAATTCGAAACACTTGATCAGCGTACGGTGTCATTATGCCAATGGATTGGTCGCTCATTTTACCCCAAGATACTGGCCATTGTTTCCGTAGGTCTTGTACACGTTCAACAACTTCGTACACTTCCGAATTGTTATAGAATGCCGTTGAGTTTTTATCCTGTACATCTTCACCTCGTGTGGTGAAAAATGTGAGCGGGAAGAATTTCTCATGTCGTGGCTGCTTACCAGATGCGATCAGCTTTTGGTCATAAAAGAGCTCTGATGTAAATTTGATGATTGCCTCATGGGCACGGTAATTTTCACATAGCAAAATTTTGCACGGAAAATCAACTGGATAATGGTCATACAGTCGTTCCAGTAGTGAAATGTGCAATCGACGCTCCTTGGCAAAATTAGAGAATAGCTCTGGGCTCATTTGCATGTGATCACCGGCTAGTACGATGCGTGTGTTGACATCAGCCAATGCTAACGGCATGATGGCCTCACATTCCATCGCTTGTGCGGCTTCATCGAGCAGAATATGTGTAAAATGGCCCTTCGGCAAATCCAATGATGCCAACTCCATAGAAATATTCAAAGTCACTACAACGATTCGATGCTTCAATAGATCCTCCTTAGTTGGTCGCCGAAACACTCGAACCGAACCATTGAGATCAACAAGACAATACTGCAAATAAAATGATGAAAATTAAGACAGAGAAATAAACATAGTCACAGTTACATTGGAGCTAATATGGCCCCGAAAAAGTTGTAGACAGAGTGGTGTTTACATACCTTTAAAACTGTGCTATTAACAGTAGCAACCCAACGCTTGTGGTAATATACACGTAGCGGTGTTGCTTCTGTGTTTCCCTCTTCGACCCACGGATGCAGGTAATCTTTGATATATAAATCGGCTGCAGAATTTGAATGTGTACAAATCAGGATGCGAGTATCGGTCTGCAGGAGCAATTGTTGTATCGAGCTAGCCAATGTAAATGTTTTTCCAGTGCCAAATGGACCAATCAACAGTATCGGTGGCAGTCCAGCATTTGAAACTGCAGTAATGGCCAGTACGGCTTCTTTTTGCTTTGAATTCAGTTTGGGATCTAAGTTTTCGGACCATTGTTTCTTCGGTGTCCACGGTATACTTGGTTCTAGAAAAGTTTCGGGAAAGATCATTCGATAGTCGACGATTTTATCGATCGCATGATGCCATTCACAGTATGTGAGGCGGTTCAATTGAAATTGAATGTCGGATAAGAAGTCTGTATTCGCTGTCAAGCCCAAATCGCTAACACATTGCGCCGAGAGCTTCAAATAGATCATTGATTTGCCTTTGTCTTCAATCAGTGCCTCGTAGACTTTTCGTTTTTCATTGTCATTCGAAACGAGGCCAGCATCTGATATATAAACACTTGTGCAATTATTCAAAATCAGTCGACCCGCTGACGTATCCTCCGACACATCTTTCCCTAATGCCAGCAGCGCAAACAGTTCGCCCGAATGCGAATACTTGGCTGTGCTAGTGGCCATGCCACTTGGCGAGAGTAAATACGTTGAAGTAATTTGTAATTTTGTCGTTAGATTGTATCGGGCGACTTGATCGTAGCGCGCAATTTCTTCCACATACAGCAGTTCGTGCATTCGCGACCGATAGTTATTTTTTGTCATTCGTTTTTCAGTAATTGTTGATTGAGTTAGTGTAAAGGTTGATGCTCGCGGACACGGATATCTTTGTAGTAGTTCTTTTTCACGTTCTTCGTCTAATTTTGCTGAGGCGGTCGGTTGTTGGTGTGCAACTGATGGTATTGTATACGAAACGATTTGGACATTTGTTTCGTCCCATCGTTGCGATGCAGAAACGACCATTTCTTTTTTAATTCCTTGGATTTTATCCGCATCGGTTACCGGTATCACATCAACGCAAAAATGCTTCACTAATACGGGCTCAGTGCAAAAGTCAAAGACTACTGATTGACGAAACGTTCCGTATATATCGGTTGAAAAGACTACTTTGACCCTATGCTCCAGGACTGGACTTCTTTCATTTGGTGTTTCTGAATATCGTTCGTCTACATTTGGCGCAACCCATTCTTGGTCACTTAAAAGTTCCGCCTCGACTACCTTATTCCCATACGACTGTCCACGTTTCGCTGGTCGAGGTTCGGCTGGAAACACTTGCTTCAACATGAAGTGGTTACGATGAGCATCCTGTAGAAGGGCAACTGCTTTCAGCATACGTTTCGTTTTCAGAACGAATGTCCATTCACGTTTCGACACCTTCGACGATACTGTTGTCACTAGGTCATTTGAAACGGTTTCCTCTACACCATCGATTTTTTCTTTCATTATTCTATCAGGAGTGGATGCCGACACCTGTAAAATCACACCATACACATATTACATTGCTAGATTTTCAAAATGTCATTTTTACATATGGCACTGACTTCTAGTACACTATACACACTTACCCATTTTTCCAGGAGTTGTTCTGTAAAACTTTTGCCGAATAGTTCTTTCTCGCAAGCCCGTTGCATTCGCATTTTTCGATATTCGAAACGCTCCTGCCACTCATGCAGTTCTTCATTACCATGTGCTTCTACGCATTGATTTCCATAGTGACAGGATGCATTATCCATGAAGTTTTCACATAGGGTATACGTGTCTGCGGCGTACCCTCTGGGGGGTGCTCTGCATTTCCAATCACGCCCTGCAAATTTCATCGAATTCCGCACAAAAAAGAGACAACAACACCATTAAACCACGTTCAAATTTCAAACAGAGAAAATACGATTACCTTCATCGGACATGATAACAGTCTGATGCGTCTCCGTCTGACAATGTTGCCGTAGATCGGCCCGGGTCCGAAATGTGAGCGCACAATATGTACATGTAATAATTTTACCAGTTCTGTTTTTATCATTGCCATCATCACTGTTTATCGATAAATTGGCAACCTGTTCAATCTGATTCTTCAGTTGATTACTATCCATCGGTAAAATTTAAATTAATCTAATCCTATTGGTCGTATGTAAATTTTAGTGCTGGCGGCCGCTGTTGCTGTTGTTGTTATGTATGCGTGTGTGTGTGTGTGTGTGTGTGTGTGTGTGAAGAGAAAATTTGTTGCTACACTTTGTTTACTTATGTCAATGAATTGGCCAAAAAAGAACCATCAAAGTTATAATGGTACTTTTGTTGGTCGTTGATGTTTTTGATTTGTTGATTGTTGATTGATGATGTTCCTAAAACGAAACACATTTGAGGTAATTTAAGAAAAAGAAGAAAATACAGAAACATCACAATATGCGATCTTCAATCACTCAGCTTAAAGGATACGCTATTGGTCGCACGCATTTCATTTTTAAAATCACATTGACTCATTTCAAAATAAACGCAGCTACTTAAAATACACAGCAAATTGCAACGCAAAATGTCACTGACCATTGATAACAGTTACCAGAGACACTTCACCCTTTTCCGATTAATTTACCATACTTCAATCGCAGAAATAAAGCTATTTCACAAATTGAAATGCCAATAGTTATTTTTTTCATTAATGTTGACATTGATCTACGCACACACACATTTTCGGTTAATTGATTGAAACAGAATGTTTCCGAAATAGTTCCGAATTCAATGGTACTTGGATGTAAAAAAAAACGAGTTCTAATTGTTCTTTTAAAGTTCTAACAGCATTGTTGTGTAAGTTTATTTAATTTTGTTTTTACTTTAGCTTGATGTGGCTATGGAAAATGTAACATGAAATGAGTTTTTAATAAAAATATTGCCAGGAATCTGGTCTCGATGGAAAACTATTACTTATTGTTTGTTGATTCAGTTTTTTTTTCGCCATTCGGCGATCGCAATTTTATCCATAACTTATCCAATATGCCCACTTACCGTAATATTAAATTTTAAAAATTGCATATTTTATCTGCTATTTACTTCTAAAAAGAATCAGATACTTTTGTTACATTTTATTGTTGGCTTATTTTAATACAATTCTTACAAGCAAAATTTACGCGATTATTTGACATTTATAATTTTATTCTACAAACAATATTACCAAAAGCATACATAAACCTCCACATAGACAGGAACATACATGTTCGATATATATAAGAAATACAAAGCAATCCACAAATACACTCGCACCCTAGACAAACGTCCAACGATACGATACACACTCTGCTACTCTCAAAAACCAGTCAACAACAATGGCAGCCACTAGCAATCAAAACTTTTCCATATGTGGAGACCTTTTTCGCGTACTTTTTCTTCCTTCTAATATTCCATTTAGATAATAAGTATCATTGCTTTGGCTAAACCGAAGAATAAAAACCATTCAAGTACAATGCTATTCCGGATATATGAATTACGACGCCGTACTTTCGGGTTTTCATCATTGAAATATGTTCGCAATGTTAACAGCTGACGTGTATGGTTGATGCAAAATTCTTTCTTCCACAGATTACTCATATTTCTACCGGGTTTAGTTCGAGTTTCTTTATTTTTTCAGACTTTTCAACGTACTTGTCAGATATTTTTCTGAAGAAACAAAAATTCGAAACAATCGATCTTAGATGGAAAGAGAACAAAAATGGGAGTTTCGGTTACTTCATAGCCTTCTGCAAATTTTAAACTTAGATTAATTAAATTCATATTTTTAAATTGAAAAAAAAATTACATTGGGAATTTTTGTCATAATCAGACATAGCTGTTGGTGATACGCTAAGATGGATCCATTTGGTCATACAGATTTATATCCATCATGAATGTATACATTCAAAGTTCAAAATAAAAAGTTCTCCAAATTTGGAAATGTTCTCTCTACAAAACATATTACGATTTGAATGTCAAACGAAAAGTCAAATATAAAACATTGACATGTGCTACAATTTGAAAACAATATAAACCCTGTGTTAGACCGATTTTAAAACAATAGCTCATCAATGCTAATAAAATTTTTAAATATATCGAAAAGCCTGTCACGGCCGATTTCTTTCAGTTTTATTCGAGTTTATTGCCGATATTCCAATGAAAATGAAGTAAACTCACCGAAAACAGCTGATGGCCATGAATCAAAACTGATACGAGTGCTCAACAATTGTAATAACTGGAATTCGTTGAAGTATGAACAAATTTCATATTAATCGCAATCAAAACAGCACGGATGCTTTATGCTATAAGCTAACTTTTATTGTTTTTTTTTAAATAATAGGCCAGTCTTAACGGAGAAGAAGTTTAACTTGATTCAGAAGTTTAAGATTGAAAATGGCGGCTCCATCACGAAATTTGATGAAATTCTGCAAATAAAAGGGATTAGTGTGAAAACAGTTGATGATCTTCGTCGATTCTGTGAATCACAAATACAGGAAAATCCAAAAAATGCCAGCAGTACAGATATCCCATCAAGTAGTGCAGATATTCCATTAATTCATGAGCACGCAGACATTCAGCCACATAGTTTCGTTAATAATGATAGCAGCTTCATATTTTATGATGAAGGTGTGCCACCCATTGATTTATATCCAACAGCAACAAAGTCAACACAGTTGATTTCAAACCCAGACAATTCAACGAAGAAGTGGAAATCGTTGAAATTAATCCTAGAGCCTCGATTAACCAAATATTCCTCGATTCGTTCATTTACGTCAATATATCAAGACGCTACCGGAGTGACTTGCACTGAATTTTCGCCAATCAAAGGTGAATGGGACAATGGTGTTGAGATCAATTCATGGGATCATCATCGAGTGGATTCAGTCGGAGTTAAGCATGTCTTTCAATTGTGCGATCAATTGTCACAAGTTGTTGAGAAATTGCCAGTCAGTGATATTTACATTATGGACGATCACATTAAATTACAACATTTTCGAAAAGCAGTTACACCAAAACGGCTTGCCGAAATTATACAAATGAGCCAACAATTCGCTATTCTAGTTACACTGCTACAAAATCGAAAGAACTCTCATGACTGCACGGAGTTAACACAATCGAACGTCTTCTCGATGAACTACAGCATTGTGGCACGATTGTATGACCTGTTCGTGGGACGAGAACCGATCGCAACTGAAAACATTATCAGAAACCTTTTGTATAATTCAAACAAAAGCCCAGAACAAAGCCCTGATTTATTGGCAATTGAATTGGATGATAATACGAAGAAGATATTTTTAAAATCGTATCCAGTAGATCGCGAATGTTTAGGTAAATCAATGCTGATGGGTTTAACATTTATCCGATTAGGATTACTTAAGACAAATAAATAGTGATTCAGAACACCTAAAGTATGAAACGATTTCATAAATAAAAAAGCAGACAGGTTTCGTAGACAACTTCAGTTCGTTTTACTCCCAAAACAAACATACGCAAATTGCGAGACTCATTCATTTTCATTAATGTTAAGTGCAAATGTTTTATTTTTGTGATAAATACATAAAACCGAATTGATTTTCTAAATTGGGAAAAAAAAGAAAATAATTTAATGAACTTGTTTCTGGTGCAAAATTAACAGGGAAATAACTGCGGTTCAGCAAAGTAATTGTGCAATGGAACTGTGTCGCTTCAATCAGTCTGACTAACCAGTTGACATTTGTGTTTTTTTTTCGGTTGGCTACAATGACAGCTATTTTGGCAGCTCGAATACATCCGGTACTCCTTTTGTAATTTGGTTGTTGCCGCAGAAACAAGCAAAAATGGTAATCGTCAGAAAAATCGAAAAATATTTTCATCATCGTAGTGAATAATTGCTCGTTTTAAACGATTTTAAATAGGAAACGATCTGGAAGATATGATTTAATTACGATTTTTTTTTTAAATTATTGTTTTTTTCGTTGAAAAATATAATATCGAAAATGTTCGGTCTCAGATCCGTGAAAGTGTATTCACTACTTGGTTATGTTTAAGTGTATAGAGTTTGAATGGCCTGACTAAACTGGACATATATATTTTTGTTTGTTTCTTTACAGTCGTTGGTTATTCCAGAGAAATTCCAGCATATCTTGCGTATCATGAATACGAACATCGATGGTAACCGCAAAGTTACCATTGCGATGACAGCAATCAAAGGTGTTGGTCGTCGTTATGCTAACATCGTGTTGAAAAAGGCCGATGTCGACTTGACCAAACGTGCTGGTGAATGCAGCGAAGAAGAAGTTAGTATAGTTTTATCAACTGAAGTGAGAGAGAAAAAACGCATTCCGAAATGAAGACTAATACCGAATTTTGATTTCTCTTTCATGAACAGGTTGACAAAATTGTCACAATCATCTCAAATCCACGTCAATACAAAATCCCAAACTGGTTCTTGAACAGACAAAAGGACATCATTGATGGTAAATACCAACAATTGACCTCATCGAATTTGGATTCAAAATTGCGTGAAGATTTGGAACGCTTGAAGAAAATCCGTGCCCACCGTGGTATGCGTCACTACTGGGGTCTTCGTGTGCGTGGTCAACACACAAAAACTACCGGCCGTCGTGGACGTACTGTTGGTGTGTCGAAGAAGAAGTAAACCAACTGAATTCCTTCGCTCGATTACACTTATTTTTTTTATATATCTCTGATATGGAAGCAACAAACATGAAACAGAAAAAAAACCAACCATAAGAAAACCATGAATGTGAACACATTGGAGATAAATTAAAATTCCACAAAATAGTGCTTTTGTTTTATTTGTTACGGTGAATGTTTAAGTTGTGTCAACTAACAAATTTTAGGGCAACGATTTGAAATTCGCAAAAAAATAAACTGAGACCACGAGTCACGTGGAGATTGAAGTGAACATGATTATTGTGAATGTGGTGTCATTTGTTTGTAAAAGTATCGGTCTATGGAACCGTCTTTTGTTCAATCCAGGTGCATTGAACTGAATACAACAAATGCTTACTACACCCCCCCAAAGAATACAAACTGTGTCCTTACTTTCGATTTCAGCACAGTAGTTCGATGTAGGTTGTGATTGAATGCAAAGCCATGCTGCAAGAGGAACTGAATTCGTTCTCGACGAAAATTTCTTCTTATTTTCGGTATTTTTAGCATTCAAAGAATTTGCTGGCGACAATGGTCTCTTTACCTATCACATTAAAAGCCAACGAAGCGAATTTTAACTTGAAACTTTTTTTTTTAGATAGGCTGTTTTATCAAATGCATTGGGCATTTAACAAGGTAAAGTATAAACCATGAATATCTGTGAAATGGTTACAATTTTGGAAAAGACGCGAGTTGTTTGAAATAGGTATTGTATATTTTCATAAGAGTAAAAAAAACCGCATAGGTGAATCTCGCATGGTTAGATCTCTTCAAGCGAATCTGTGTGTAATAAAACAAATAATGAAATGCATTGGTATTAATATGTTTTGACTGCTCGCCAAATTCGTCGTTGCTATCAAAGTATTTAATGTCAGTTTGAGTATAAAATCAGGTTGTTAAGTATGGTTAGCCCGAAACTTCACGCATTTTGGGCGAAATGAATGCTGCGGCGAAATGGTGATGAAGCGAAGCAAAAATAGGAGCTAAAAACAGAGTAAAAAATGGGGCAAAATAGTTGGTATGAAAACGGAAACGATCAATACAACAATAGCCGTGTGCGTATATGTATACGCTCTCCACTACACCACAACATACAGCATACGCATACACACACAGAGCAAAGAACCAAAAACCTTGTTTTTATTAAAATGGCCGCAAAGTAAGACGTGAAATATTTTCAAGTCCGATGTGTATATTTTTTATAACGCAAATTAAGACTATATTTATTCAAAAGCTGTTCTGCATTTTGCTGTGTAAATTCAATGTGAACGATTTGTTCACGTTTTTCTGATCGAACAACCCATTTTTGCAGTTGTTTATGAAAAGTGCAGTGTTATTTAGATTTATTTTCGATGTGAAGCACCAATAGCAGTAGCTGCGGAGGAAAGAAAAAAGAGAAGAATTAATACAAAATTTGTATTCTTTTTTCTTCTGGTTGAATTAGTGAGAAAGTGTAAATGCTATACAGCACAGAATAAAGCTAAACGATCTGATATTGATGTTCTCCAGTGAAAATAAAAATTAAAAAAAAAACGAATTCGTTTGTCTGTGCTGAACAATAAATGGGAAATCAACTCATTTTACATTTATTAAACAAAAGTCTGCAAGTGAGTGTTTACACATAGAAAAAATTATTTTGTGCTTAGTGGGAATTTGTGGTGATTTGTTTTTAATTGGTATTGATGAATTTATATGACAAAGAATCAAGAGTTCGCTAAAGAATTGTTCCAAAAATAAAAGAAAACATCCACTCCAAAAGCGTTAAGTTGGTGGAAAATTTATTTTTGGTCGCGCAAAACACACACAAAATGCATACAAGTGAACGCTTCAGTTCGACACACTGACGACAAAAGAATGTCTAGAACTCGAGAAAAATACCAAATATTTTGTTGAAAAGAGAATACGAATTTAGATTTATCATCAAGACAAATTAAGTGCTATGAAAATCGAAAAGGAAAATGGCTTAGCTCTTTTAGTTTAGATTCAATTTCGTTCAGTTCTTTTTTTTACCTACATATATTGCACATAAATTTGATTCATGAAGTTGAACGCACACGCACACGCATACACAACGCAGATAAATCGTTTTGTTCATCGATTGTGTGTTATTCACACAGTAGAGAGAGTGTGTGTTTAACGCTATGCTCGCCAACCAATACACATACAACAAACTGAGAGACATATTTCTTTTTTGTCATATGTAAAAAATCAAGACATAAACGTTTCCATTCGATTTTGTTCGAAAAATGAAATATTTTGCCACTGAAATATTTTTCTTCATCGATTTTCTTGGTGGACAAGATTTCCTGTTGAAATTTTGTATATTTATCCCCATATATATACAATCTTCTGCGCCAATAAATTTGTTTTCATTTTTAAAAACACGATTCGCATCCAATCAAAAGGCAAAACACAAGAGAAATATTTATAAAATATCGGTTACAAAACGAAAACAACAAGCAAAGCCATAGCATGTAATTTGAAAGCTGGTTTTATAAACATTATAAACACAATATTACTTCATATGACTGAATTTTTGTTGCCCTTCTTTTACATACTGCCTTGCTGTTTTTGTCCCTCTTTCTTATGCTCTCTTTGTTTGATGTTTATGACGCCAATCACAAAAACATCAATATTTTGATTTTTTTTTTCGTTTTCTGTTTATCTTTGATTTGAAGACATTTTTTTTTTGAACCAACCCAAACGCGATCTTCATTTTTAATTGATTAAATCAATATTTTGGGACACATCTAGAAAAAGAGAGAGAGTTAGAAAATGGTTTATTTTCACATCGAAGACACAATTTTCGACGGAAAATGACGTGGGCGTCTATTAAGACATAGAAAATAAACATGCAAATTTTCCCCACTATTTTTTCACACTCTTTTCTTTTTAAGTCATTTTATAAGATACTTGACAATTATTTTACATAATCAAAATTGTTTGAGTGAGTATCGGGGATATTCAAAGTTTAGCTCAGCAATTGATTGGAGCAAAAACAGAATAAATAATAGCTTCAGTATCATTCACAAATGTATAATGGCGTTGGTTAAAACTTTGTTACAACGACAGTACGTCTCCTAGCCAAACCATATAATATAAATAAATTTTTGTTTTTTTTTTCTTTCAATTCTGCGCGCGCGTTTGCTGTATTAGACCATAAATGAAAGTCAAATCAAGCACATAGTAATTTCCTTTGTTGCTTCAATAAATATGCATGGAACCGAGAGCAGTAGAAGAAGAAGAAAGCAAATGACATAGAGCATCAAAAATTGCCTAGGGCTAATATTAAACTACATATTATAATGGTATATTATTATTTTCATCGCATAGATTCAAGAATGTCGAGCCTCAAATCGGTTCTGTTATGGAAGGTGAGATTGAGAGGGTCTAATATATCAGTCTCTTATATATGTGGAAAAGAATCAGCTTACTGAATTGTTTATGGGTAAATTGCAATGATAATGAATTGATTTGTGCAATGAAACAATGAATCACACTTTTCCGATTTTTATTTTCGTTTCGTTTGTAGTGTTTTATACCTTTGGGGGGGGGGGAGTTCACGCTGTTCCACTTTAGATTCAAAAGATTCTTGATGAAGTGATCTATCTGTGTCTTTCCAGTTTTCACATTAAAACAATCCCAACTAGTTGTTGCTCCAACAGAAAATATGCATTCTTTCTCACCGAATCTTCACTGAATAAAAATCGAATTGACGAGAAAGAAGAGACAAAGAAAATAAGCAAAAAAAAACAAAACAGTAAAAATTGTGCATTTTGTGTCGTTTTATCCATAGCCACATAACACCGTCTTCTTCTAAATTCGCTTGGCTGTGTAACATGTATGCGCTGTGTGTGTGTGTTTTTTTTATGTGTGCACACATTTTAACGACACAAATAAGAAAACGCCAGTAAGAATGAAATGAAGGAAAAGAACAACCGAATGTTAAAAACAGACGGAATCACTGAATAGCTTTAAATGCATTTTTTTATTTTTTGATGATATTGTAGTTTACATGTGTTTGGGTTGTTGTATAAGCGTGTATCAAACTTTTGAACACACATAAATATACACCATACATATGTATGTATTTATGTTGTTGTGAATGCAGTAAGAAAAATATTTTTGTCATTCACCTATAGAAGCTACCTTAGCGAACGACGCAAGTATTCAACTAAATGAAAGAAAACTAAAGGGATAGTGTATAAAATAAGAATTACATTTAGGAAATGAATGACAATTGTTAGCTTTTTGCGTTATCTAATGCGCAATGAAAATACTGGAATTGTCTTGCTGGGATGGGATTCTTCCAAAATGCCATATACAACATAATTGACATGGTGCCATTTAACAACAAAATTCACGAGAAAAAAAAACTCCATATATTCTGCAATTTATTTCGCTTCGTTCTGCCAAAATCGTTCTGTTCTCGTCGACTGGATTTGTCCAATATTTCAAAATCAACACGATGAAAAACAGTTTGTGGTGTTTGCATATGTTTCGCGCATTACAACAACATTCTAAATTATTTCCTTATTTAGCTCATTTAACTGAATCACATTTGATATGAATTCGCTTTAGATGCGCCTACTATTCTGTTTCCAATTTTGTGTCCTGCGTTAAGTGTGTCTATGTATGGAAATTTCGGTATATTGTGAGAAAAAAACACCAAATGTCTGGTTTCTATTGCAATCATACTATTCTTCACAATTGGATAGTTGCAAGACAAATATATTGTGTCGTTCAAAACGATGCTAGTTGTTTTTGTTGTTGTTGTAAGCAAGCAGCATGGAAATATACCGAATAATGTAAACACATATGTAGAAACTAACCAATACAATACTAAAATACAACAATAATAGACACACCTAAACGACTACATCGTACAGACTGCAAACAAAAACCTAACAAAATTGAACTCGCTTCTCTTTTTTCTTCAGCATCTTTTTTTTAAATTTCTTGACGAGATTTGAAATGATGAAAATAAAATGTCAAAAATATTATTTTATATATTGAAATTCTACTGACTCTAGATGGACTCATTGTATTATTGAAATGCTAAATTAGAATTTCCTTTGGCAAATGAAATATTATTTCGAATAATTGTGACGACAAAAACATCTAAAGGAAGAGAATGTATTTTAGCTCCCTCTACAATCACAATGCTTTTTTTTATAAACGAGCGAAAATTGCGGCCATCTTTGTTTTACCCATTTCAGTACCACTATTACTACTACCAACAGCAATAATTCCATGTTTCCAGAAATGAAATGGTTGCATGTGTATGTGACTGTTTTCGAGCTATAGCATGCTGTCTTCTTCTGTCGCTAGATTGTTTTGGTTCGCAGTCAATTCGCCGTCTCGTTTTATTATTTTGCTTTTGGTGCATACCTTCACGGCATCATTTTAGCATTATTGCTGCCTACCGCATGTGCTTTGCACATATATCCATGTGTATATATTGATTACATTCACTTCATGTGATTTCAATTCGAGTTGATACCACTGCAACTGTACACTCTCGTTCACCACAGTGTATACGGCAATCGATCTATCAACTGGCCCAACTCTCGGGTTGTTATTATATTTCCGTTATGGCTCTCTATTTTTTTTTTTTTTTCATTCCATTGCAGACTTCCCAAGCGCTCATCACAATTTTCATTTATTTTACTATGCGATTTTTTCGTAGCTTGTTCAATTTGATTTTTCTCTCTGTCTATCAGAGAACATTTTCGCCTCGCTCCCGCAATGTAATTGTGAGTGTTTCTACACTTTTAATGTGGTTTCACTTATTTAGCTCGTCTCGCTGCTGTACAGTCATTTTTCAAGTTTTTATAAGTTGGCAGCCCTTGCACGCAAATGCGCATTACATTATTTCTCACCAAATAACAAATCAAACCATCTTTGTTGCCCCATACTAGCTTCTTTTTTTTACCTGCTCATTCTTTTTCATCAATTCATACTAAACGAATAAATGAAACTCCAAAAACCTTATATTTGATAAGGTTAAATAATGTCATCGATGAAATAAAAAAAAAATCTGAATGTTTTTTTTTTCTTTGGTTTTGTTCATTGTATGTTTAAAAGTTGAATAGCTGTATAAAAGAGACACTACAATCTAATGTTAGTGGACTTAGTATCCGTAGAAACGTTGGTATCACCATTGAAATTTGCATTTGATTTGATGCGAATAAATTAGTGTAAACATTGTAAAATGTTTGCTGGAAAGAGACGTGAAACATTCATTCTAACCGAATGAAATCTAAATGTGAAATGAACACTTTCTTAATTAGAATTTCTAATCCAAGAAAATGCGATAATTTTGAGTTAATTATGATCTACGAAATGTGAGAATGATATCAGAGAGTACAGCAGTTTTGAATGAATTTAGAGATTCGCTAGCGGACTTAATTCACATCATGAATCAATATTTCGTCAGTCAATTTATCTATTTCCTAAGCAGTTCAAAATTAAATGCCAAACTCACAACTAAATTCATGATATTTTCTTTCTCTTTGGTCAGCATGCAATACACCTATTTGATATTTTCGTATTTAGTTATAGCTGTTGCGTTTTACGTTTGATGTGCATGGGTTATTGACCTGAATGCAAACTATGTCTATGTATATTGTTCATTTAAAATGCAATATACTTGTGTGTCTGCTCAAAGTTTGTCTATTTTTTTATATTCACGCATTCAATATGCCTAGTGTGTAGCGTTAATTTCAGCACAATGATTGGCTATATGTGCAAGCAGTTTATGATATCACAAAACTTTATTTAAGATGCTTTTTTTTCGTTTAAAATGTAGCATCTAAAAATGGTTTGCCAATTTACGGTACATTTTGTTAATTGCTTGCTTTGACACTACTTTGAACAAAAAGAAGGTGAATCTGTTTATAAAAAAATCTAAAAATAATAGTCTTTCTTATTGCTAGAATATATTCTCACCATTTACAATTGCCATTCGAATTTGAAATAAACTTCAAATTCTCTAAAGAATGAGCTTTCAATTTAGCCTATAATTTTTGGATGAGATTGGGAGTATTTTATGTTTGAACGACTTATGAAAGAGGAGAGCAAGTTTCTTCTGACTTGAAAATTATTAAAGGAGAATATGTTGATTCTTGACGGTATTGTCATGGTTTTTCTTGCAACTGGTATGAGATTGCGGGTTGGTGACTTTGGCAAAGCTATAGAACTTAAGGTGCTCAATGTCGCGAAGAAGCGAGAAAAACCGACGAATATCAACAGAATTAAAAGCAAAGAACTTTGTCATGAAAATTACCGCTTATCATTTGCAAGCAAATACCACAAGATCGCCACATTCAATTTTTATCTTTCTAAAATATGACACTAAAATTGAAATTTATATCTGTGTCTTTTCTAGGGGCTTTTGTCAAATTCTCATCTTTGTATTGATTACGATCACATCTAAACGAAGGAAAAAAAAGGACAACAATTCAATTGACAGGGACGTGACAAGTCCAAGCATTGCTAATCACAGTAATCACACGCAAACAAAAAGGATTTCTTTACGGAAACGTAATGTTTATGTATGTCATGGCCAATGCTGAAACCGACAGGAGAATCGACCACACATACCTCCGCGATGTAGGAGGCACTTTTTTCTCTATTAAATTCATAGATAAAAATTTATGCGTTACTTAGTTTAAAACCGAAGCAGAGGAAGAAGAAAAGATACCAGGCAAGAAGTTAGAGAAGGAGAACGATGATACGTTCTATCATCAAATAAATGAAATAAAACAACAAAAGTACGGAATAATTTGTCGAAAATTTGGCCGTTATAAAAGAGTAATTTAAATAATTTGAAAACAAAAAAATTAAATAATTGTATGTGAAAGTGGTTTGGTATTAATGCAATATTCTATACACATATTGACAATTGAGATTTAAAAAAATTGAGTTCTTTTTTATTGTGAATATGCGCAAACAAAATTGGCTCAAATAACCATTCGGTGTAAGAATTACAATTTATCACGTAAACAAATTTTATAAAGTGGCGAAGAAGCTGCAAAACACACAGTGAAACTAATTTATACAGAGACAGATAGTTGTCTAAAGCTAGACACAAACACACACACATGTAAATATATGATTTGAGTGAAAAGGTAGAAAGATTGAGAAATCTTTGTTAAATTTAAACAGCTGATACGCTAAACAAACAAATCAGCGGGAAGGAGAAACGTAAAAAAAAATAATCTAAACGATATAGAAAAATCATTGGGCAAAATTGATTGAAATGACTTCGCCATCGTCGAGTATTGTTGTTGTAGATAAAAGTGGCTCAGTCGATGCAAGTAATTTGATTCAGTCGTCACAACATGTCCACCAAACGCAACACCAGCCCATCCGAGCTCAACAGGTGATCCTCAACGAAGATTATTTGAGTGGCGACAATATTGTTCGAGCTGGTAATGTAAACTATCTAATACCGATGCCAAGCTCAACGGCCCCAATGCTGAAACAATCGACGATTGGCCAGCATCCAAACTCAAAGGTTCACGTAATCAGCAATGTGACACTGGTGTCAAAGGCTGATCAACCGCAGGCACAAACCATCAATTTTGTGAATAGTAAGCATGTGCAGCAATCGGGTGGGCCCATGGTGAGTCGGTCGTCGATTACGAGTGGAAATTATGTAAATATATCAACGAAATCTCAGCTACAAAACAAACTGGTAAGATTCGGGACAAAGCGGCTGACACAAGTTCGTTTGAATCCATTGACACTGATGGAGTTAATTTGATTTTTCTATCTTTGCAGTTCAAGTCTCCAACAATTACACAAATGGATCAACAAGCACATATTGTTTCGGGGCAACAGCAACCGGTTCAGCAGCAACACATAATTACCAAGCATTTGAATAACGCCAGTGCAATAGTACAAAAAGTAATACCACGAAATATTCTTGTGTCGACAAGTCGAATTCAAAATAAAATTGAGGTAGGTTTTGTTGCCGGTGTGCACTGTGCAGACAGGCAATCAAACATTGGTGTTCAATGTATTCTCATTTTCTTTCTTTTCCGGGATAATTTAGCCAGCAACAATTACACGAACATCGACGCCCATTGCACAGCATCAAACAAATCAGATGTCCAACGTAATCCAAATACAAAAGCCGAACTCAATTGCTATCAATAAAACGAATAGTTTAAATGTGAATAATGTTAAAAGTACAAAAGCAAATCAACAAGCCATTAAATTGGTAAATCAAACGGTGATCGGTGGTGGTGGCGGTGCTGGTGGAGGAATTACCAGTGGAACAATCAAACATGGAAACACAACCGCCGTTAAAACAATAACTAGCACGGCAATTAGTGCGATAACGAATCCGAATGCCTTGCAGCAAAAGAATCAAACGAAGACCACATATGGTGTACAGAACTCCAAAGCTCTACATCAACAGCCTCAACAAAAGTCACAACTTTCCGTTGTTCATAGCAATATTTCCACTCACAGCAGGTAATTTTTGCAAACAACACACTCTCAAATACTTTGACAAAACCAAAAAAATTTGTTTAAAAAACAAACAAAATGATTCGCGGTGAAATTCCATCGGAGAATAGCTTCTTATGATAGGTTGTTAAATATCTTTCAGGAATAATAATAACAATAACAACAACACCATCAATGCAAATACCAAAATAGTGCAACACTCAGCTCCACGTACAATAATGTCCATGAGCAATATGTGCGTTCAGCCAAATGTTATTGGACAAAAGCTGGCTACATCTAAGGGTACACCCATTACTAAATACATGGCGCAAACGAATCCAAGCATCTCGAACATAAGCCAAACGCCCTGTATATCAACCGTACAGTATCGATCGAATGAAAACTTGCAGGCCGGCGATCAACGAGTTACAACATATCGAACGATTCAACCAACGGAAGCACGACCAACATCAACGGTGAATAAATCAGTCACGGTGATAAATCACCCAATGAATGTCAATCCGGAAAGTAGTAGCCATCAATCTACAAAAAAGAATTCCGAATGGAATCAATTGTACGTATTTCATTAAATTCAGATGTCAAACGACCGATCAAAATTTTTGTTGATTTAATTGTATAAATGATTAATATTTTAACGTTGGCCCTTATAGCCGCCATAGGAATGGGGTGGACATTGGCATTCATGAATTCCAAAGTTCTTCGGATGTGAATGTGAAATCTTCAACGATTCCAGGCTCCGTGGACGATGTTATTATGGTGAATGGGACCCATATGAGTGAGGAAATGTCGGCACGCATTCTGCAGAGTTTGTCACAAAAAGTCGTGTTCCATTCCAACAACAGTGCAAACAGCAATACCGCTGCAAGTATTACACCCAATCGAAATGTACAACCAACCCCTTCGCATCGAGTCACACAGTCCGTCTCACATCGTGCGATACAACCAGCACCCTTCAAAGCAGCTCAGACGTCTCGGAACTACACTGAATATGCAAACAAGAGCGGACCCGAGTACTTTCGCGTCAAGTAAGTATTTTAGTTGGGTTAGACAACATCCAATGATGATTTTCTTCTCTTTTTTTTTCTCTTGAATATGTAATTAACACTTGATGTATTTTGATTTACAGCACCTCAGACATTCAGTCAACAACATCAACATTTGTGGACAATATACCTTTGGTGTCAGCCAGAGGTGACGAGAGCTATTCAAATACAAATGATTTAGATGACGATATCATTGGAGAAGAAGTGAGACCAAAGCCCATCGATAGCTCGATGGATTCCAGAATGCAAGCATTACATGCATTATTGCAGGATCACACATACGTTCAGTGGCCGGTGAGTTGAATTGTTTCATCGTTTGGCGTTTTATTATCGTGAGACTTCGATTTAAGACAATTTACGTTTCATTCATTTTAGGTTGATAAACAAACACAATTGACGACCACAAGCGCATCCTTTGCTCCGAGCAAGAGCACCACACATTCGACTGGAGCGCCCGTTACAAATTCAACGCCTAATAATCAATCAGAGCCATCCCCATCAAGTTTGCTCTCCTCACCGTCAACTAAATATAAGCAAAGTACAACGATCCATGCGGCAGAAAACATTGCGGCCGGAAACAGTGTTCCTATGCCAAGTCAAACAACCTCTCCGAATACACTCGCCAACAAATACCATCAACAAACGAATACAACAAATCTAATACCCGGATATCCGTTCGGATATAATGATATGATGAGTAAGTTGAATGAGTCGTACATGCAATCAGAATGGAAATGGTAAATTTAAATTTTTTTCCAGATAAAGACGATGACGCAAATTCGGCCATCAGCAATGGATCGAGGAATAAATCGGATATTGATCCAGGAGAGGAAACTGAAACGGCACCCGAAGCTGGCAATGAAGATGACTCTGTAACACGATGCATATGCGAACTGACGCATGATGACGGTTACATGATATGCTGTGATAAATGCTCGTAAGTTTGCTTGGAGTTTTGTTCTCGTATTTAATGCTTTTTAATTAGGAACATATTTCTACAATGGTGTACGATTTATTTCGTTTTCAGCGTTTGGCAACATGTCGACTGTATGGGAATCGATCGACAGAACATCCCGGAGGAATATAAATGTGAATTATGCCAGCCGAGAACGATCGATCAAAACCGTGCACGGACATTGCAACTAATGAAACGCAAGGAGCAACAGAACTTTTTGATGATGAAACAATCAAATCAAGTGTCTGGTTTCCCATTGGATTCAAATGTTTTACAAGCCACAAACTCAGGCGATCGCTCGCAATTGAATGCATTTTCAACGATTGTTGCCAATAAGAAGAAAGGAACGTTGTCGATGAAAAGTCGCAAAGGTGACTTATTCGGTACACCGAATAGTAAGCGTAAGCGTAGTGATTCTAGTCGTGGTGGTAGTAAGCGTCGAGAATCGAAAAAATCGCTGTCAAAGAGAAAGTCACATTCAGGATCCAGTTCAAATACGACGACACCAGTGAAGCCGAGCGCATCATCTGCGGATAGTGATAAGCAATCCACAAATTTGCGACAATGGATCGAAAACTACGAGGCAGCAATGACAAATCATTATTCGCCCGAGCTACGTGCACGCTTGCATTCCATCACCAAGCAAGTGGTATCGTCTACATCGGTTGTGCCAATGCTGAAAAATATCGGTTCGTTAGATAACAAGTGCACAACAGTGCCACACGCTGGGGGAAAGATCTTGATTAGTACTCGTGAAATAGCCCCAAATAATCCTGTGATAGAAATACGTGGAAAATATATGCTGAGCAGCCAGTTCAAACCACAGCAACCAACTTCGCCAACATCAGCGAATGGAACGCGAAACTTTTCAAAAATACATCCTGGCCCATTCTTGTTCTTCTATCGATTGCCAAACGATGGCCCCGAGATATGCGTTGACACGAGGACTTATGGAAATGAAGCACGATTTGTTCGGCGATCGTGTCGGCCAAATGCAGAAATTGTTCACAGCATTGAGAAGGGAACTCCACATCTATACATTGTATCGCTAAATACAATCCGCTCAAGCACTGAGATAACAATCAAACACGAACCCCATGATTTGGAGTCACTGGAACGTGGCGAGATCAGCGCGCCAACGTCTTCGATTTGTGGTTGTGGCTTAATCAAAGATTGTATGTTTGGAGCTAATAGTACGAGTCAAACTGCTCCACAGTCTAGCACGCCAACGTCATCGAAGAAATCGAAAAAACCCAACGGCCACGTTAAGGACAAATTCTCTCAACTACGGAAAAAGAGCAAACTCGATAAAGGAAATCGGAATCAACCAGAAGGTAAGAAATGTTATTTGATTTAAAAGAGGAAAAATTTATCAGTTTTATTGAATGATTCTAATCAATGATGAAATATCATTTTCATAATACAGCAGCATCACACATTTCACCTGCTATCGGTAGTAATGCTGGCATGCTATCTCCAACTACATCGAGATCGAGCACAGACGATGCGGAGAAAATAAAATCCAGTGAAAATGCATCAATAAAATCGCATCCATCACAAGAAAAGGTACAAAAAGAGCAATCTGCTGATAAAACCCATGACAAACCACATCGGAAGAATAATAATAATTCGATCGATGGGTTATCGACCGTACCTGATGAGAAACTAGATCAATCATCCTCATCAGGGAAACCATTAGTATCTGATTCAAAAGGAAAAGAACCTAATGCTGACTCATCAACACCATCATCACCATCTAAAAATGAAAGCAAAATCGATGGAGCTCAAAACCGTTCAATGAAATCTCCACCCACAACGCCGATATCAGCGTCAAGTATAAAATCACCATTGAGTAAATCGGGTCACAAGAAGGCTGCAAGAAAGTCGACATGTAGCTTATCGGAAGATACTGGTGATGAATTTTCGCACGTAGCATCGGGTTCGAAAAGCGATAAAGAATCGAAAAAGACAGTTGAAAGTAAGAAACTCACGCGCGAAGAGCGAAAAATGGAGGCAATCGTACGAGCATTTGAAAAAATGGAAAAGACTGAACAACGGAAAAATGAACAGAAAAAAGCGGGCTCAACTGCACTAACTAGTGGTAGCAGCTCATCAAACAAAAAACGGAGTAGCTCTTCATTTGGAAAAGATGATGATAAATTGAAGAAATCCAACAGCCAGACGGGTAAGCGTAGGAGGAAACGTGGAAAATCATACAGTCAATCGAGTGGTCAGAAACGAAGACGCAATCGCTTCGATTCGCACAATTCGGATGACGGTAATACGTCGGATGAATCCAGCACACCGATGCTGTCTCCAACGCGCTTGCACGATTTGGATCGGCATCCGAGGACACCAAACGAACACCGTGATAAAGGTGATAATATGGCAGCTGGGCTGCTTTTATCGCTGTCAAACTATGGGCTAACATCGGACAAAAGCAATTGTTTTTCATCACCTGAACGGTACAATGCAACTAACAAAACATCATCGAACACGCCACCTTTCGCCGTAAGCTCTGCATGTTTGCTAATCGAAGCAGCTGTCGGACCGTTAGACAACGATTTCAAGCTGCCAACGAAAACGAAAACTAAAAAAACCATCATGAACGAATGGTTACACCAGAGTGACGGCACAACATCTTTTTCATCACACAATGATAGAGAACAATTGTTATCGCCATCAACATCGATGGACAACTTCACGCATGGTGACTCAAACATTAATAGCTATTCGCACGATGTACCACCAAGAAATATGAGTTTCGCTGCACAAAAAATCGAAGAATTCATTCATTTGACGTCTGGTGAACACATAGACGATGACGAATGTTCAAAATGGAGTGGATCCCCAATTTGTACATCATCCGATGCTATGACAGTACCAACGCCTTTGCCAACGCCACCGCTGCAGATGGGCAGTTCTGTTAAGAAGCGCTGGCTTCGTCAAGGTAAATTTATACAAACAAACAAATAAAAACTCAACAATTCGAAGGGACAAGTTTTGAATTTATCTACATCAAATATCATTTTTCAGCCATTTCGGAAGAGTGTTCGGATGAACTTTTAGCCAGCTCAGCCACATCTTCGCCGCCAAATGGGTTTATGGCACCATTGAAAAAGCGGCGGGTTGTTCGTCAATGCTCCGACTTGAACTCAGAAGATCTAGGTAATAATCATTAAGATTTTATTAATCCCTATTTTAATATTTCATACTAAAAGTGACTTGTAATTTTCAAGACAAGTCTAATTTCCATAAGTTTTCATTCACTGAGTCTAGCTGAACTGGACAAAATTTTAACGGAATCATTTTTTCCATTTCCAATTTCAAATGAAAAAAAAACTCAAATGCATAATTAATTGTGAATTCATAGAAACATCCGAGAGAGAGACTGAGAAAGTGCTTAAAGGGGATACTGAAAAGGTGTTTCAAGATGATGAAACAAAGACGTGGAATGAAACGGACGTTAAAGTTGAATCCGAACAAGATAAAAAAGTGGTCAAGAATGAAATTGAAGCTGAAGCTGAAGCTGAAGCTGAAGCTGAAGCTGAAGCTGAAACTGAAACTGGAAATGAAGTGGACATCGAACAGGAATCTAAGCCGGAAGTAAGTGAAAATAATGCAACACTGGCGGATATTGATAAATTTGAGCCCATTGAGTCTGATGAGGACGAGGCAATGTGTGAAAGATTAGAAATCAAAACTGAAGTTGACGATAGTCAAGACAAATCGATGGAAACTGAAAGTTTTAAGCACGAATCAATTAGTGAGGACTCCAAATCTCAAGATGACGCTCAGATGCCACCCAGCCCAGATGAAGCCAAAGTGGAGGTGAATAGTGAAGATTTCAATATCGAAGACAGCAAACCAGAACAAAAAGACTTGGGCAAACATTCTGATTCGATAATACCCGAAGTGCTGCCCAAGAATGAAATCGAAGATATTCAACAAAAGTTGCATTCATTCCACAGTGAAAATCTGATGATCCTGCAATCACGGAATAAGAAGCGTGCATCTCGAGCTACAACACCAACGTCACTAGATGAAATATCCAACAGTAATGTTTGCTCAAAAGAGTCCTTGCTATCGTCATCATCATCTGGTAGCGAGAATATAGTGAAAAGTCGTAAATTCAGTGTTGATGAAAATGAGTATAAACGTGAACTACCCGCTAAAGTTCAGAACGATGATGAATCTTCATACAGTTCCTATCATTCGGCCTTAGTTCCACCACCAAATCCAACTACCACAAATCAGCCACCCACAGCGACAACGCACACTTATTCGTCATATGCTTTGAACAGTGCACATCGAATTGAACCAAATCAGTCGATTCCAACCGCACAAATATATCAAACACCACCACCACCAGCCAGTTTTCCAACCGTGAATTCTCAACTCGCTCCAAATATGTCGACTTCGAACCCACTGTATCATTATTTGGAAAATCCCAATCGGCCACCTGGTTTCAATACGGCATACAATGCCTCACCTATGTTTTCAATTCATACTAATGTTCCACCGCCAACTCTGTTGAACAGCAGCAATTACCTAACGAAAAGCTATTCCACGTTAAGTGAACCATCAACGCCGGTTGCTACTATACCAAGCAATGTCAGTACGCCACCATCATCTAGTAATACGCCGTTAAATCCAAAGGTGCTGTCACGTACACAGAGCGCTGATCCCCGACTCAATCCACAGAAAGATCTTCCACCGGCTACGCCGAAACGAAAGCTATCCATTAATGAATATCGCAAGCGCAAACAACTCACGAATACGACGGAAAAGCCGAAAGTCGACAGTAGCGAAAGGACTGAAAGTCCAGCCGAATCTGATAGGCCCGCACAAACCGAAGACAAACCGAAAAATGGCCTGTCCGTTGTGGATGCCACCAAGGAAACAGGTAAAAAAAAAGTTTATTTGAATCAAAGAGATTTGAAATAGAAAAAATAACGATAAAAATGCTTTTATTCGATTGATACAGTCTTTAGTCCGGCACCAACATTATTGGAAATGCAACAGGAGAACCTTTCGAAAAGATTGAAGTCTTACAAGAGTTTGCATGGAATATCATCACAGATTGATGCAACCACACCGACAGACACGGCGCTCGGAAATGGTATGTTTTGACTCGACTTTATTTCCAATGTAAACATTGAATCATTCTCATTATTTTTAAATGTAGAAGTCTCCACATCAATCTCAGAAGCTTTGAATGCATCGAGTACCAACAGCAGCTTAACATCAGTTTCATCGCCAAAATCCGATTGCGATTTCGATGAAGCTGAAATTACTGATTGTAAGCATATAAATTCAATATTTAAACAAATTTGATTTTTCGAAAATAAGCAAATTTTATTAATCGTTTTTATAGCAATTCCAACGCCTGAAATGGAGAAGAAAGAGGCATCGGTGTCGGCATCGGCATCAACCAGTGAACCTACTTCATGCGCAAATCCAAATGATGCAAAGGAGGAACAAATCGAATCAAGTGAAAATGACTTTGACCTTGAACCTGCGGAACCACCACAAAGTGCGACTTTAGATTCAACAAAGGCTTCAGCTCCACCACACAGCGAAGATTAGGGTATATGCCTTATAGATAGAAGGCCAACAATCAGTGCAGTGTCGATATGATGACGTGCAAAAAATGCGTTAAACCAACTACTAAAATTATTTCTGAAGTTGATCTTATAGAAAATAGTCGGTTTTAAGTTAATTGTGTTTTAGCCCGTTCCAAACAAAGAATTCATTTTATTACAGAATCATTACTGTAATGTTACACTTCAAAGTTTGACGGTCACACATAGAACAACTATATTACTTTCAGTTTGAAAATAAACCATCTACTTAACCAAAATTGCATAATGACACACTGAGTCAGAAATTGCCCAATGATTGATTGAGCGCTGCTGATTAATGGTGATGATGTGGTGAGCGAGTTCACAACCGAAACATTTGTCCATTTATAGACAGAATTAGAACAAACCAAAAAAAAAAACAAAAACAAATGACAAACAAAATCATGGAAATGAATCACAGTATTATATCACAACACATTTTGCGTTATTTTGGGTAAAATATAACATTTGAAAAGCAATAATCACCTGAACAAAACGATAGAAACATAAGGAAACAAATAATCCAGTGAACAAATTTCAGTTAAAATCCAGTTACAAATGGAAACACATGTTTTTTTTTTACCTTTGAATACGAATTTTATATTATTTATTTAGTTAATTTATAAAGCATTTTCTTCTCACTGATCGCCATGCATTTTATTTGTGTCTAAAATCGATGCCAAAACATACGAGTAGCAGTTGATTGGTTGGTATGCTTTGGCTTCCATTATGTCATTACAAACAAAAAATTAAAACAAACAATTTAAAGTTCACCGAATTGACTAGATGCATCGTTAATTGTAATTTGATATATGACGACATCTTTGACCGCGCGAGTGATTATGCGACTCAATTTGCAAATGAAAACTGATTACTTGCTCATTTGTGAAAGCAAAAAAACAAAAAACAAAAACACAGACATTTCGATAAGAAATTTCCATTGGATTCATCACCGCTCTCAACGGATAAAATTTTCAATTGTAAATAGTCTATTTTTTAACGTATATTTTCTATCGAAGCCTATAATTGAAGAAAACATAAAATTTAAATTAAAACGTGCTTAGAAAAAAAGTAACAATTGAAGAAAAAAAATAGAGTTAAGAAAGAAAAACTGTAAATATTTGCGCCAATTAATTACATCATCCATTTACATTTATATTTAAGATTGAATATAATTTTCTAGTTTGAATGATACTACATAAAAGGTTACAACAATAGTCGATAATAGATAGATTGATATTTTTTTTTTTTTCAAAAACAAAACAAAAAAAAATTATTCAAAGCAACTATATATATATTATATATATTCTATGAATTTGATAGATTTTATGATTTTACACTTACACTCAACAATTGCTTGAATAATTTTGTACACATGAAAGAGGAAACTACTTGATTATTATAAATTACAATTTTAATTTTGTTTTCTTAGTAAATAAGTTGAATAAGATTTTAACGCAACAAGCACATGAACGCACACGCAAAACATTCACTACTTAAAATCGTCTCCCACTCAAATTAACTGATGGAATTTTCAGGAGAATTCAGCAACGAACCCGAGTAGAATCAATAGCATGAGGCGGTGTGCGCGCGTATGTGCTTGTCACTTTGAAATTGGTAAATGGACATGAGTGAATATATGCGCAAATGCGTAAATTTCAATTTAATTAGTTAAAAAAACAAAATATTTCCTCCAAACAAACATGCGAATTTTTTTTTCTTTTGTGTTCCATATCAAATTATGTTCATTTTTTCTTTTCATCCTCCCGTAATTTCAACCATTCTTCATTTATATCAAACATTTTTTAACGTAATGTTTAAATAATTATGCTTTTAGCACAGATAAGTTTGAAAAAATGTGTGTTTTATTTGTCCAAGTGTGAATTGAGAAACGACCATGTTAGAATTGTTCAAATGGATTAAAAAAAAAACGTTTGTCAACCATTTACACTTGAATGGTACAGCGATTGCAGGGAGATCCATTTTTTAACGGGTAAGTATGGTGTCAGAAACTTCAACTATTTTGAAGAACAGCTTTTGAATGTTGGATTCTCTAGACCAATTAAAAATAAATTTCACTTGGTACTATAGACTGGCTCTAAGCATTTTCATGTAAAAAAATGGTCACAATGCGGCGATTTGTATACGCTACTGATTTTCGGCACGAAACGGAATCTATTTCATAATGTTGAATTATAAGTTTATTTTCAATAATCTTGTATACTTCTCTGTTTCCATAAATCAAAAATAAGAACGTAACAAAAGCATTGCAATGCCAATTTGTTTATCTTACACACTTATCGATATTTTTTGTTCACTGAAAGGGAAAATTCATCTAACAATTCAAACGAAAGTAGACAAATGAAATGATACACAGTTTGCTCTTTATCATTTATGTTATTAAAATGTATTTCATTTTTATTGAATCGAATTTTAAGTGGGATCAATTGAAGAAAACTTATGCTCTCAACAAGCAAACTCCACCGGCGGCCTTGATGCGTTCTT